ATGCCTTCAAGGACGATGTAATGGCATTCAGCCCTGCGCCTGTACATCGGCCCTTCATGCAACGCAAAACAAGAACAGAAGCTCAGTGTCTTTTGTCTTGGTGGGGGCAGGGTCATTGGAGGCTGTGGACACGCTTCTAAGTCCCGACGAAAAGTGTCGGGACCAAAAATGGACAAAGCTTCATTCTGAACCCCTCTCAGCGCTTTGCAGCGCAAGTGTTGGTGAGCGGGACCAGTCCTGGGCAATGTGAATCAAACACTTCATGTATAGTCCTGATCAGCATGCTATCCAAGAAATTTGCGCGACATGCGCCAGGAATGCCAAATGGAAGCTTTTCAATCGACGCCTTAGAAAGCCCTAAGCTTCACTAACAGCTGTGGAGCTGACACTGAGCGGCACCATGGCGCCCTCTGGCACGAGCGAGAACCTTGAGAACCCAACCCTCAGACTACCTGCAAGCATCTACGCAAGCATCAAGGAGCATTTCGTGCTTCAATGTTGTGCCACGAAAGCGTGAATAGAGCGAAGCACACCAGCACTGTCTAGCAAATACTGCACCAATGCTAAAGCCACACTTGTCATGTCAAATTGCAGCCTCACGGGTGCTGTCCAAGGTCATGCAACGTCGAGTCGCGGCACATCCATAGAGGCCCTCAAGGCTCTCGAGGGCCCAGCAGCCGTTGGTCTGTGAAGATGTCCGTCTCGAAGTTTCGGAGCTCGGCCTAGGGCGCCGATCTTAGCACTGTGGCAAATTTGGAGAGAAAGATCCTCTTGGAGAAAGTGAAAGTGAGTGAAACTGATGATCTTTCTAAGGCTGGGACCAAAAACTGTTCACGTTTGACTTCTGGAACCTGCTTCAGAACACACTCCACGTGTCATGTCATGTGAACAATCCTGTAAAAATACAATATGAGTCATCGATTGCCCCTGCCTCGCCGTAGTAGTAGGTGTACTCCAGCGGCGGATTCTGCAGTCATCATCCATTGTAGACATACAACCACGCAAGTGCACGAAATCCGTCTCTGGTCTGCACACTGCCGGCTGCAATTGATGCAATGCCAACTTGAATGGAAAGCTGGGAACGACACCAACGAAAGCTAGCGGGAGGCATGCTGGTTCTGCGTACCCATCCGAGACGATGGTACCAAAGCCCCAGAATCTCCATCAGGCGTGCATCATCCCAGGCACCACGCCTGTTTTCCCCACCACTGGCCTGCAGCCCACCCCTTGCGCAAGCCTTTTCACAATTTGCAGATCTTGGCCCCTCGACTCCCTTGACACGATTTATCCGACTATCAGGCATGACTACCACCCACCTGCCCCTTGAAGATATATAGCTGCTATGAAGGTGTCAAGTAATAATATAAGATCTTCCCCTTCACATCCACAAGTGCCTTTGGCATTAAAGCAAATCAACTCCAGCTGAGCGGTAGCTGGCTTTATGATTCGCACGCCAGGTCCACTAGGATCCGAACATCCGTGGCCCAAGCTTGTTGGAGACGGAAAACATCCTGAGGATTAGGGGTGTCCCGCACTGTCCGACGGCTGCTTGCCAATGCTTGCCATGCTAACAACGGAGCGCTGCTACGTGCTGTAAAGCAGCTCTCATTTTCCAAGAAGGCTCCCAGAAGACCATAGACATGTATAATCTAGTCTAGAAACGAAAAGTATCCCGAAATTACTGAGGTTCAACATAAGTCTGCTCTTCCCATACAGCTCTGAGTTTCTTTCCAACCGCGATCTGACCATGGCACATTTCTACTTAGTCACACCGCTCAACCCTGAACTCCACCCTGTGACCCATGCTGCCTCAGACAAGTGTAAGCCAAGAAGTATCTTCAACAACTCTAATTTGCAAAAATGCAGTGGGCGCTCAGTGGGCGCTTGGCAGCCCAGCTTGCATGGCAATACCAATGCGACCCACCGGATCGAGCCTCAGAGCGACACAGGAATCGATTTCAGGCGTTCTCGGCTTGCAGGGCAGGGCTGAGGAATGCTTTCTGTAGCCCCAATCTCAAGTGGAGGCCTGAATTGAAGCAGCCGGGAGTCATGTTGCCGCTGCCACTAGAACCAACAGTCGGTGAAAAATCTGTGTCCCAAAGCAATCGCGCACCACATGAACTGTTCCAAGCACATACCGTCACATACCTGCAAGGCCATCCGCATGGCAGCAGCATTGTTGGGGCGCCGACACATCCAAACTCCCAGCTGTGGGGCCCCAGGGGACATTGAACACCTCCTGGAGATTCTTCTGGGCTGAGAAGACCCGACTGCCCACTTGCTACCAGTCGCAGGACTACAGATGTCTGCGGGCGTAGAACTGCCACAGGTGAAGGGAGCTTGGGTCGTTAGGCGACCAAAACGACCTGGGTAAGAGCAAGCTATAGTGAGAGCGGAAACTTCAAAGCCCTCGAGCAGTCCCACTCTTTACACCAGCTTTCGAGGCCTACAGGGCACCATGGGCCAAAATGGGCCACGGCCCGGCCTGCGAATGTGGACTCCTATGGACTCTAGACATCCTCAAAACTTCGGCTTCCCACCACTTCCCAACATGTTCTCGCCAGTCCGAGTCCACTTGCAGGATGCCGAGCGACACCCTCAGTGGGGCGTAAACTTTCAGACGCTTCGGTTGTCATGTCCGGGATAGGGTCGAACTTGTCGCGCTGCGAGGCTTAGGGCCTAAAGAGGGCGAAAGCATCGTCCGCGTCTGCACAATAAATACTTTCGGGACCTGTGCTCTACAAGACTGCTCTCATAATATTTTGAAGCTCTGCGTTGAGCATGGGACAACTGAGGTACAACGATCACCAAACATCAAAGGGTGCAAGGCGGGAATGCGATTGCGCTGCTTCTATGGCTACGAAAGAGAAGCAAATGCCATGTTGGAGCTTACGCCACGCGAACGGCAGCCGGGTGTGCAAGAGGTATTCACTGTGGGGTCACCGGCGTGTAAGATATGTGATGATATGTGGTAGATATTGGTAGATTGTTCTGGCAGGGCGACCGACAGACTGCACCTGCGGGTACCCGAGGTGCTTGCGGATCGGTGGCCGGCTCAGTGTCCAGGTGGCGCCCCGAGGCCTCGGGGCCAAGAACATCTGCAACATCGGGGTACAAGTCAGGCCTTCAAAGCTTGGCATCTCACCCGGTGTGCCGAGGCTTCTCTATGCAGGTTGGGATTTAGCCAGGTTTAGTGCTCACATTGCATCGGAACAGCCTGTCACTGTAAATCGGCTCTGGAGGCTCTCGACTCCGTCTCTGAGGGAGCTTCTGTTGTCGCATCTCTGCCGGCTTCCAATAACTCCTCCTGAATGCGCCGCGCGCCACAAGCGACGAAGCCACCCATTGGACAAACCATTGGATAGGTATCACACAATCCCATCTATTCGATGTCAAAAGCAGGCACTTGACATGCACAGAACTCCTTGTACGCTGTAAGCTGGAAAGCCTTCTTTCGCCTTAGCGAAGGTGCTTGAAGAAGCGTCAGCGACTTGGGTGCAAGATCAAAAAGCATAAAAGTGTCATAAAAGTGCAAGCCATCTCTGCGTGGCACATCGAGCTTCCGACCCTGCTGTGAGTAGCCTGTCGGAGCAGAACCATGTAGAACCCTTCTCACATGCAGTAGTAGGATGCACAGATTCGACATGGCAGGCATCAGTGAAGACCCAGTGTGGCAACGGAGGCACTCAATAGTCCGGTCTATAGTACTACGTAGGGGTCAGAACGTGAACTACTACAATGAACTTGCAGCCATGAACGTGCGCAGAGCATCCGAACGCAGCCTGTGCTCAAAACCGACACACGCGCACAAATCGGTGCATGAAACACAGACGAGGCATATGACAGAAGCTTGCAACATTTGTCTGGGCTGGGATGCTTGCCAGCTACTGCAGCTACAGTACTGGCTCGCCTGTAGGAATAGATGAAGCCCTTCTGGAGATCAGCACGGTCTGCTTCAACGTATAACCAAAGCCTTGGAAGCATCAAATTGGAACGTGCCCATGTATCACACACTGAATACCACACTGTACACCAATCACAGAACTAGGCGCTTGTGTCAGTATTTGTCACTGCTTTGTCCTCATGTCGCGTCGCAAGCGGCAGCGAGCAAGCCTGTGATTTCAATTGGGATACTGACGAGTTGGCAATGCCGCCGGCCATGTCCTGGAAAAAAAAGTGGACAGACAACTGCTGGAAAGGTCGTCCTGGGCTTCTGGCTTCAGACAGCACTAGCACATTCGCCTGTTGCCCTATTTCCCACACAAACCAGCACCCATCCGCACCTTGATGCGGTTCGTGAAGGTGAGCTGCAGGGAGGTGCAGGACAGTGAGCTACCATTTTAGTTTACCACGATGTGGATTTGCAAAGTCACTTGTGCTTGCGAGAGGTGGGTCATGATTCGGCTAGTTAAAAATTGCACGGGCTTGGACGTAAAGATTCATGATTCAGTGGACTTGTCCGGATGTCCGCGCCAAATTGCTTTATCAGAGACCGGAAACTTGAAAAACAAACCTGGCAAGACCCCTGAAGTCTTGCGCCTCTTTGTATGCCCTCATGTAGTTTCGCGGTTGCCCCATGATGCCACGCATCAGCAGAATCCTCAGCAGGCTGTGCGCTCGCTCGAGGAAGAGTGATCAAGTGATAGCGCTGGTGTCAGACAGGTGAACTACAGACAAATCTACGTACTACGGTGCAGTCAATGTCTCAGGTGCCCTGCTAAAAATGTTCGCCTTGAGGCATCTTTTCCCATAACCATAGTCATTCATGCACGCTCACAGCAAGAGCAACTGTACACACGCAAACAGCTGTAAATGCCACGCATTGGCAAGCTCTTGCTGCTGAGCAAGTTGTCTTCTATTGCGTGACGAGCGAATGAATGCTCAACTTCTCAATGTCCTTGATTCCAATGCTTGGAGATGTGAGCCACAGGTTCAGTTCGACAAGCCCGTGCTTGTCGATTGAAACTCCATCGTCTCACTCCGTTCGGGTTCGTCACTTGTCAGCACTTCGACCTCGACTGCGAACAGATTCGCCGCGTGATCAAGTCCTGTTCCAGATCCTGCTCATTCTTGGTCATTCTTTGGGCAGGTGAGAGTGAAGAAAACCTCGAAAATGCAAATCGTGTCTTGGGATGTAGGTGCAGCTCATGACTGACTGGGCAGCCAAATTATGCCACAAACTAGTGAATTGCCCTGATATCTTGCGAAGCACCAAGCAATATATGCGGTGTGCAAGCTTAGGGCTGAGGGCACAGAGAGAGCCTGGCATTGCTGGCTTCTCATGATCCTCATGCTATGTCTGCGTTTCATCCCTGTCCTGGTAGGTGACTTGCCTGCGCAACTGCTTTCGTGTTCCCTTCCTGAGCAGGACTCTGTGAGATGCGTACTGAAAGTTGGAAAGCTTCCAGCCTCAATCACAAATCATGCCAGTTCATGCCAGGCTGCTGAATGCGACTGAACCCCATGGTTACTTTGACCTTTTCTTGCCTCGGTGAAGGAGGAGCCATGCTCTTAACTGAGACTGTTCTGGCATGTTTTGGCATTAAATCTGGTCCGCTGCCATGTTTGCCCTGCAAATTCGGCATGACAACCGTACACATGAAAAGCTGTTCCGCTCCTATGAGTCAACTCCGCTGCATGCCCAGAGGACAGATCCGGAGTCGCCCCCAAGCTGCGCTCATAGTCCGCCGCTAGACCACCGAGCGCTGTCTCCTGCCATGTTTGCCGCTCTTCTTGTGTGCAATCAATGTCAGTTCAAGTGCCGGCAGCCCTGAAGCAGCTGAGATACTGATGGAATGGTGCGACCGTTGACGGAGGGGCTTCTTCCGGCTTTGGGCTGGGCTTTCCTACAAAAAAACTTCAGCACAGCGTGTCAAGAGCTGCAGGAATTGCCAGACCAAGGCACGCGGTATCGTCGATCCATGGCCGCACCAGTTTCCTTCACATGAGGGAAAGAAGAAACTGGACAAGCCGTATATGCTTTGGCAGACATCCCATGCACTCAAGTCCACCCCCCCTCTCTGCCCACCCTCCAGAAAAACTTCTTGATGGAGGTGCCACAAGTTCGTTCAGGATAGAGTATAAGGCCATAAGGCCATGGCCCCACTTGGCCCAACAGGACAAATCCTGGGAAGAATAACGTCTCCACTGATATTTTTCAGTTGTCGAAGGCCTTTCTGGACCCTGTTGCACACTTGTAGTTGCAGTACAATCAGTACACTACTAGAGTAAAAGCACACTTTAAATTACACTTAAGACTTGGACTTGCTGTGGCGAAGCGAAGCCTTCATCACCCGGAGCACGCCGTCCAGGCTCAGCCAAGGTGAAGGGGAGGCCGCCGAAGCGAGTACCAAAGCCACAGCATTTACGGCCTTTCAGCTTGACGGTCATGAAAGTGCTACAGACATACGCACACGGAGTCAACCGGACCCAGCTTAGACATCGTTCTATTGGAGCGCCAGCCCTAAACTTGCCCACGGCAAACCCTGCAGCGGAGCTGCCATTCCTGAACTCGCCTCGAAAATGGAGCGAGGATGTTTTTGTCAATTTTTCTGGTTTTTTTTTAATGATTTTTTTTGTTTTTCCTTGCTTTTCTTTTGGTTTTCTGAACATGCCCTCTGGTTCTGCCTATCCTCCTCCTCTGGTTGGAATTCTTTTCTGTGAATTTTCCTGGTTTTTTTGGTGAATTTTGCGGGTTTTCAGCTTCCGCAGGCTCCTCAGCGGTACCGCATGTCCGGAACCTGACCCCATCTAATGACCCTTGGGGTAGCAATCCCGCCCCCCCCCAAAAAAAAACAATGCAAACATGGTGCTCGCATGATGGGTTTCGACGGGATTCTTATTGTCTGAAAGCAAGCTTGCGCGCCTTCAAAAAGCCGGGGGTGTTTGGGCCCCCCCACTCCCCCCCATTTGCAAAGCGATGTTCGCAAAATGAGTTTTGGGAGCGATTCGTTGAACTAAAGACTAAAAGCACGCTTGCACACCGGGAATTCCCCCCCCATTTGCAGACACAATCCCGCAAGATGAGTTTTGCAAGGGATTCGTATGAACCAGAAGCACGCTTGGGCGGCTTATAAAAAAGCGGGGGGGTTGGGGGGGGCGCAGCCCCCCTCATTTGCAAACACAATAGTTTTCAAATGGGATTTGTTTGATCTAACAGCTAGGCAAAAACAACACCGGACCCCGGCTAGAGCCGTAATCCCTTACCTCAAACACTCAAACCCTAAACCCTAGTTACAAACCTAAATCCTTCGGGTTTACTACTGCCCGGCCGCTGTGCCGAAGGGCGTCTGTTGTATCCTCACAGGTTCCACATACGGGTTTTGGGGGTCTAGGGTTTATGGTTTAAGGCGTAGGGTCTTTAGGGTCAACCAAGAACGTGCGAAGCGAGCGGAACCCTCAACTCCTTCCATCCTTCCTTTCTTCCTTTCTTTCTTTTTTTGTTTTATGTATTTCGTTCGTGTTTTTCTGTATTTCTTGCTTTCTTGCTCTCTTTATTTCTTTCTCTCGTTCTTTCTTTCTTTGTTCCTTTCTTTCTTCCTCACTTCCTTCCTTTATTTCTTTACTTATTTTATTATTCTGTCTTGCTGTATTTCTTTCTTTCCTTTATTCCTCTGTTCCTTCCTTTGTTTTTTCTTTCTTGCTTTCTTGCTGTCGTTGTTTCTCTCTTTCTTTCTTGTGTTTTTCTTTATTCCTTTATTTCTTCCTCCATTCCTGCCTTTCCTTTTTGCTTTCTCTCTTCTTTATTTGTTGTCTTTCTTTGTTTCCTTCTGTCTTTTTTTCTAGTCCTGCCTTTCTTTGTTTCTTGATTTTCTTTCTTTCTTTCTATTCCTGCCTTTCTTTCTTTCTGTAGTTCTTTCTATCTTTCTTTCTATTCCTGCCTGTGTTTCTTTCTTTCTTGCAGTCTTTCTTTCTATTCCTGCCTTTCTTTCTTTCTTTCCTTATTTTGTCTTCCGCTTGCTTCCTTCCTTTCTGTCTTTCTTTGTTTCTTTCTTTCTTCCTGTCTTCCTGTCTTCCTGCCTTCCTGCCTTCCTTCCTTTCTTTCGTGCCTTAAATTTGACAAAAAACAGGAAAAAACACAAAAATAAACCAGAAAAAATCACAAAAAAAATACGGCACCCCTCGAAAATACTCAACCCCATGGTCACCCCAGATCACCCCAGTGACATCTACTGCCACTCTGTGTAGGTGACCTTCGTTGCGCCCATGGAGTTGCGCTCGATGCATGGCGCCTGTCACAGGGGCGCACATGACGCAGAGACGATGGTGCACAACGGTGCTTCACGATCACATAGGGCAATGGCTGTCACTTTGTTACCCGGACGACCAAGGACGTTCCCCCGAAACAGGAGCGCTATGACATATCTGGATTTCATACACTAAACTGTCAAAGCACAATGCCCCAACAGATTCAGGAAGTCAGCCCTAGGGTGAGCTTAGTGGACTTTTCAAGCTTCTGCGTGCGAGAAGTGCTGACGCATGCCTCAAACTGGTGCAAGATGGTGCAGGCATTGCAAGCCCGAAGCTTCAGAAGCTTCAGAAGCTTCAGAAGCTTGGCCTGGACGAGCCCCAGGACTGGGTCGCAGGTCATGCCCAAGCTGTGCCTGGAATTTGGTGCTAAGGGGCCTACGCCAGCCTACCATGACTAGCCCTCATACTGTTCCATTTCGATACGCAGGTGGTCTGTACTGACACCAGCAAGGTCCATGAAATAGCTAAAGAACTCCAGGTCTGCTGATGCGCTCCAGAATCCGAAACAGGTTCTGATGCTGCCCGGCGACTCCAGGGCCACAGTCGCTGCGGCTTCAACCTTCCAACGTGACGTCGTGAACTCACGACATTCTCCAGTGCACACCCCATCCGATGAAAAGCGTTGTAACATGTTGTAACCAATAGTAGCAACCCGTGCCGCTGCCTGCTCTGGGCGGCCTCCGAGTACGGCACAAAGCCCCGCAGCCGCCATGGCTGTGGCGGTACCAACCTGTAAACTGCACTCCCCCATGTTCAGGACAAGTTCAGCCCAAGATAAGCCTAGTTTAGTTGTTCTCGTCTTCAGAGGCTGCAGAGTTACAGGGCTTGGGTTGCACGGTGCAGGGTGCAGACTAGATATGCAGCATCACCATTCGGGCTCGAAGCATCCCTCTGTCATCGGCAGCTGCATAACGTCCTTCACTTCCATGCTTGCTGAATCTGCTTTCCCACTTCCAACTTAGATACGAAGACTTGAAGACCCCCACAGAACTCTTCCTGAATCTTAATCACCTCACCCTGGCTCCGTTCACGCTCACAAGCCCTATTCCAATCTCAGCCTCCGCCTGGCAGCCGCCTGCAGCTCCAGAAATGCAAGCCCGCTCCTGTCAGGTATCCAGAGGCTAGGATTCCCTTTGTGAACTCTTCTTGGCTTGGTGTACCCAAGTGCGACGAAAACCTGGTTTGCCCGAAAGGCAGGGCTGGAAGCTCGCGCAACCGCAGTTCAACCGTCCACATTCAAAACACACTCCGAAAGTTCCCAATTTTGTGTCTTGTCCTAAGAGTCAATGTCCATTGGGGCTACATAGTTGTCGGACTCTAGCTGTCGGAGGCTGTGCATATGTACACACACACATATATATATATATATATACAAAAGCAGCTCAACAAGACACACTCTCCGGGAGCTCGCAGTTGCTCTGTACGCAGCTGTTTGTTTGTCATAGCTGCCATTGCCGCACGCAGTGCCTTCTGACATCGAGATATAATTAATATGTTGAAGCACCAAACCTTCGCCAGGATGCCGATGGTCGCAGCAGTCAGGAGGTATGTAGCTGGGTCCTGCAAGTATCTGTCATGCTCGATGCTTTCGGCACATGCACGTGCGTCTGTGTGCATGCTCATGTGCGTGCGCGTGAGGGATTCCCTCCCCCGCCCCCCGCTTAAGATTTCGGCCTTGGCCAGGCCTGTTGAAATCATAAGCTTGGCCTTTAGGCGCCATTGCTGTACTTGTAAGATATTGTAAGATTTCAAGCACTCCGACATGTCGAGCCTTCGGCTCGCTTCAAGACTTCAAGAGCTTGCCCTTGCAAACGAGAGACCAGGCCTTTGAAATCCAAAGCCCGCTGCTTTGGGATTTGAACCTCTTCTTGGGGGGTGGCCTCCAGGCCTTAAGATTTCAAGGGCCACTGCGCAATCAAGAGCGAGGGGAAAGGTGGGGCCGGGATATGGAAGCGGGTGCCGTGCCAATCACAGGAGATCCGGGTGACTCCTGGACCACCCCCTTGCCTGTTTTGGTAAAGGGAATTCTTGGTTTCGCCTGGGCCGAAATTCCAGTTTTCCTGGGTCGAACGGAGGTCTGGCCCCCACTACAGGGTGGGGTGTAGTTCAGGTTCTTTGAAACAGCTTTGCTCAACACCAACCGACATCGCTTTAAACATTAAAACCATCCGGACAAACTCGTCTTCACAGAGGGACCCGCTGGCCCCCCCAAAGCGGTCCTGAAAATCTTGTCTTCATAGAGGGGCCCAGTCCAAACAGTGTCCCACATGACTCAACTGACCAGAACGAACGCTGTGAAAGCAATGAACGTGAGCGACATTCTCTCAGCCATCCTGTCGGGCTTCTAGGGGCTGCGTCGGCCGCAAGTGCCTGCAGACGCCGAAGCGACGCACACCGAGCAGCACAAAGCAGTGTCAAGCAATGCAACATCCGACTTCCGAAGACTCTGAAGACCACCTTAAACTGTGGCCGCAGCTCTGGCAAGTGTGCCCTGGACTTCCGGGCCGGGCAATGGGCAAACCATCTCTCTGAAACAACTGCCTCATGTAGTAGGCCAGAACAGCGGGAACAACCCCAGCGGCTCCATTGGTCGGAGCGGTAACCAGGCGGCCCATCGTTGCGTTCTCCTCCTTGGGTTGGGACCGTGCTTTTAGTTCTCTTGCGCTCTCGCAGATGCTCCATTGAAACGTGCTTTCGCCAGATGTGGCCGAATCGAATCGATGCTTCTCCGCTCGGCACCCTCTCTTGTACGGCATTGCAAGGTAAGGACAAGTTCCAGGCTTCAGCAGAACCCAGAAACAGTTGCTTTTTGTTCGGGAGAGGAGCCCTCCATCGATGTGAAGCAGCTCAGCTTGAAAGCCGAAAGCCGCAAAACCAAAATCCTAACTCTCCAAGCTGTCCTAAGAAATCTTATAAAGCCTCAACCCCCAACAAACACTTGCCCTGACCAAGCGTTACCTAGAGGAATCCTTATGTTTGATGGGCTTGATATACATAAGGGAATGTATGATGACATGAAGAAGAGTCCGAGTTTGGCCCATGCAGACAGGCAGCCATCACGGCCAAAGCATAGCAGTTGAGCCATCGCAGCTCGTCCATAACGACCATATTGGCAGGGGCGCGCCTTTGAGAAGAAGAGTGAATGGAGGTTTGCGGTCGGGATCGACGTGCGGTGCAACTTTTGCCAAAGTGAGGGTATCACAACTTGCTGATCAGAATGCACAAGTCCCGAAGATTCAAAGTTCAGAGCAGGATTGACCCAGCAGTGCACACATTGACATGCTGCAGAGCAGCGTGGTCTTTGCGGCGTCCTCACGACGGTACTGTCTCTGAGCACACAGTACGTTAGCACAGAGGCAAGATTGAAACGCTTGCTGAGATTGCGGTACCCCTGCGATTTTGCGAGCCTCCACTGCAGCCTGGTAGAGCGAAGGTGCTCGGCGCCGCAGCTGCAGCGGCCCAGGTAAGGCCTGCATCATCTGCCACAGGACCACGACAAACGAAGATATACGAACCACCTCGCCCAACCTACATTTGTTCCGGGCGCCTAGCGGTCCACTAATTATAAGTTTGCAAGCGTTGCGGCGCATTCGGAAGTGTCCCAGTGACTTGCAGTTGACTTGTGGAGGTCAGAAAAACGCAGCTTTTCAGGCAGTCCGGTTCGAGCAATTTGAACTCTGTGCACACGAGCGCCTCTCAGCGAGGCTCTTTTGCAATTGGGGAGAGCTCTTGAACTGTCCAGCACCCTCGAAATTCCCTTAAGCGTCGGTCTGGCAACAGCACACGCAACTGTGGTCGACATCAGATTGCCAAAGGCCAACCTCGTTGGCTTTCCGCATCTCCAGCCTCGATCTTCGTAGAGTTGCCATGAACTAACTGCCTATACAGCCTACACGCAACTGCTTTTTGAGTAGTGGTTGCCACAAGCACATGCAGCCTCATTGATATCGTTTAGTACCTGATGAGAAACTAATCGGAAACCTGTGCTCTAGTAGCATCTCACAGGGTTTGCTTGTAGATTTCTGCCTAAGTTGCCTAGGAAATGGCAAGTTGTATTCCTGGCAGCCCCTGAATCTGGAAAATCCGGACAAGTAACCCTCTCTCGATGCACTGCTCCATGACGGCCCACAGCTCCTGCAAACTGCCGTCGGTGAGTGCAACTTCACAACGCGTTGAATGCTCCTACGTTGAGATTTGTCTACAGCAATTGCAATTGCAATTCCCCTCAGCACTGTGTTGAAGCCAAAATTCCAACGGCTAAAGGTCGCTCCAAGGTCTTCGATGGTGTCACGAAAACGGGTATTTATTCTTCATGTGGACCTTAGACTTCTGCTGAAAAAAATAGAAGAAATGAGCTAATTCAGAAGGAATTCTTCTCATCTATGCATCCAGTTCTTTCTAGCGGCTACGAATATCCTCTTCCAAAATCCTAAAGAGAATCCAGATACAAAATGATTGTGTGAAGCACTTGCTATATACCATTGTTGTTCATAACATTAGCAAAAATACAAACTGCTGCAGATAGAACTACACTAATTATGGCCTAGCGGGCGTTTCTCGTTATAGAAGCGATATTCATTTCGATCCCTTCGCGCGCCATAATATGATTAATGTAAGGGGCACCAACAGTTGCACAATCTGACATTTGATAGTAAAACTTCTGAAGCCCATTCTATTTTGTCCATCTTGCATTTGTAGCAATAACTTTAAGTTAAAGTTGTGAACTCTTTGCAACTTTATCGCATGTACACACATAACTTTTAACAACGGTTTTGGGGCCGCTGCCAAGCCCCAGATGTGCTTTCGTGGGCAGGCTATGTACTTGAGCAATCCTTGTGCAATCGTGTATGAAACGAGAGGTGAAGCATTGACAAGGGACAAGTTGTGTTGAGACCCCATGATTCCTGACGGCTTGGACAGGCTTACCAGCATACACGAATGACCTGGCATAGCAAATTGCTCAACAAGCACATCCCGCCCCGCTGGTTCTGCATTCCCCCTACCATGGCCCAAGGCCTGGAGGCCCTCGACCACCTGTGCCGGAGAGCGGCGCGCCTGCGCCAACTAAGTTAGGCCCAAAACGCTTCAGACTGGGCCAGTTTGGGGAAGGAATGCGGAGTGCAGCCGAGGAAAAGGTTTTGAGGCTGCTGGGGCTGAGGCCTAAAGTGCTGACAGTCAGGGAATGGGGCATGTGGTTGTGCCATCCTCGTAACTGTCGTCACTTTTGAACCTTGAGAAGGTGCCGAGATGTTGATGGGAGCTCCTATTCCCCTTGCATGTCATTACATTTGCCAGATCACCTTGTCGGAAAATCTGTTTGCTGCATGCATTATTCTGCTTGGAAATGGCATGCAACCCAAATCGAAAGAAGATAGGGTCCACTCATCCTAGGACCATTCGGTTTGCACATGAGGGGAGGGGGGGTGGAGGCCGCCTAGTTGCAAGCAGAATGCCAGCAGACCACGGGACCAGAGGACCACAAGGGACCACCAGACTGCAAAAAACACCCCAAACAAAAGTACCGAAACAATAGGCCCTCCACTGCAGGCTTCCAGCCAAGAGCATTTTTCCTTTTCGGCTTTTGCGACGAAACGTCATCAAGCCTCGAAAGCTTCCAAGACAAGACAATTCCCAGGACTAGGAGGCCAGCCTCAGGAGCCTCACGGAGCCTTGGGGCCCTGAAACAGACAACCCCCAGCTGCCTCTGAAAAGCGCTGACTGACCAAATTGCTGGGGACTTCTCTGCTGCATCTTGCGGCCTCCTCGTTGGTGCGCACGACTGTGGCAATGTCCAGCTGATGGACCTGAGCTAAGAGCTGTCCAAGAGCCGGTGGAGACAAGGTTTAGGTCTACCAATCTGTCATGCAATGCACAAGAATGTCAAGGCAACATGCAGCAGACATTGCGCAGCTACTGAGCTCCTGCAATAAAGGGACCTGCAGAAGAGAGATCACTCCAGATTCTGGAAAGGTTCTTCCTCTATATATATATATATATTTATATCTCTCTCTCCAAATTCGACAGAACAAGTCCTGTGTGGCTTGCAACAAACTTGGCAGCCATCTGACCCGGCAGATTTCGAGCAACTCTGCCATGCTTTGGAACCTCACGAAAGAAATCGAAAGATTTTCGACAACGCTAGAAAGCTTTTGGAAGGTCTTGCTTGGAGGCGTCTTTGCAGAGTGCTTAACCAGGCTTGAGCATGACAAGTCGTCCCGCTCAGAGCCAGTCAGGGACTAATTGTTCGAGCCCAGGCTCGGCAAGGGCAGCTCCGGGGAAGGCACGCCGTCATCACCCGGACTCCCTGACCGAGGTACTGGGGCAAAGAGGTACAGAAATTCAGTGCTGAAGTACAGAGGTACTCAAGCCGCCACTTGATGCCATAGGATATCCTAGCTTGACCTTCGAACGATCGTGGTCTGCAAAAGTCGTGGGCGGTCTTGTATCCGCTTGAGCATCCACTGGCCGCCTCCGTCTGCGGCCAGCATCTCCTCTTCGCTCAGGATGAATCCGCCGCCAGTCGAGTAGTAGCGAGTCTCGAGCAAGCCTCATTCAGGCAGGTCGCCGAACTGCACGTGCCATCTTCGAGCATTAGGATTCCTGCTGAAAGGCTGAGCTGCATGAGAAGTCATTCGCCAGCGCGCGGCAGATCATTGCATTTGGATGCAGCGGCAGTTCTTCTGCCACCAGCAGAATGTCGTCCTGCTTGCAAAGACAGTACTCAGTTTTTCTGTGCAAGGATCCGGGCTAGGGAGGAAGCCTAAGCTGATGCAAGTGTCTGAGAAACACTCAAACCAGATGCTCATTCACCTTGCGGCGCACCTCCTCGACAAAGCTGACTTCCTTAAACTCTCCGCGAAAGCCCACCAGCAGCTTCCCTTGGTGTGGTGATTGTGCACACGGACTCTGCTTCCAACACACTTTCGGGATGATTTTTGAGCCTTTCCTTAACTTCCAAAGCTCCTTGGTGTCGTGGCCCCGATGCCGCTATTCTTCTTCGACAGTGGAGGACTGGATACTGCTGGTCGGCTGGCATCTACAACGCTTCACACCACCAGATTCTGCGAGCCACCGCGTTCCTTGACCTCTGCCAGGAAGGGCTCGATGGTGGCCTCGGACCGCAGATCACATCAAGCACCATCGATACAGTAACCTTCCACGGCATACGACTACGACATGAACCGCAGAAAAGCGCATCCACAACAGACATTAACAGACTGCGAAGTCCAAACACGTCCAAAACAAAACCAAAAAAACAGCAATCATCAACGCCATGAACTTCATTGCGACAATACGCAAGAGACGCACAGTGACAAAGAAACGACAATAGCAAAGTACTCACCAAGACTTCAAACCTTTGTTTACCGTCTATTTGCCTGTTTAGCAACCACGCATCGTTGCAACCTTCAGCTCTCTCGCTTGGATTGGAGTCACCTATTTCAACCCCAGACCCTAAATTGGCGAGAACACTGCTGCCCGAAAACATGGGAGCTCCGAGCCTCTCGGACAGGGTTCTGCCCTGGCCCGTGGCGAACCTACGGGCCTGGGAGGCTAAAGCCTCTCAGGCCCAGAACAACCCCTACCGGCCCGCCTAGTGACGCTGTCTACCTAAGAAGTGTAGCTCCTTCTCATTGGGACCCCTCCTGGAACCCCTGGTCTGAAACTTCGATGAGACTTGCACTTTCTGCCGCGGAGGATCTGAAGGCGGCTTGGCTTTGCCAAATCACCCAACAAGGAACCTAAAGATCTCCATAAGGCTTTGCTCGGTCTTTCTTTAGCAGGGGCCGGTCGAGGCCTCTGCGGCCACCTGGCCTCTGCAGGAGCTTCTGAGATTCTGCACACCCCCCAGAAAGAAAGCCCCCCTTGCCAGGGGGGTTTGGGGGTAGAACCCTAAACCCTAGACGAGAATAGTTCGGGTGAGGGGTGGGGCTACTAAGCTTCGCGAGCACGCGATAGAGAGTGCGCCCCTATGCGCCCCTACATCTAAGGAAAAGGCGCACTGCCCGCGAGTACACTGATACACCCTAAACCTGAAAACCTGAACGCCAAGCCCGAAAACCTAACCCTACCCGTCTCCTGGACATAAGGTTTGGAGCCCGAGGCACTGGATCCACCTCAGCCGGTGCCACACCATGGAGCCCAAGCACGCAGGCCTCGCCGTAGGGGAAACCAGTCCCCAAAGAAAAAAAACCAGCGACCTGCAGGGTACATTTTGGCTGCGTAGTTTTCTGTAACCCCAAAACTCTCGGTGCCTTCCACCCCACTCCCGGGTAATTCTCAATTGCCAAGCAAGATATGCATGGTTGTATTTGGCTAGGCTTCAGGCAAGCAACGGCCAAATGATTAATTAACTGTGAAGGGGGGGGGGAGGGGTGGCACGTACATCTAAGGGGGTTTTGTGAAATTTGGCAGTGGGCCTTAAGTCTAGACCCTCACCTTGTTTGTGCCATGGCCGATGCCAGTCAGTGCCAAGGACCCACGCAGCTCCACCTCGTGCACTGAGCACTGCACTTGCAAATGCTTGATTCATCTTGGTCCCAGCACTCTTCCATCAGTGAACTTCTGGCTCTGTTTTGCCAGGCAGCTGTAAGCGAAGCAACCTCAGAAAGCAGCCGCTGCTTCACCAAGCCTGGATAGCGACAAGTCTCCCGCCATTTAGCAAAATGTTCCCACGATAGGCAGTAGTACAGCAAGTTTGGGGCAGAGGTGTTGCGGGTATGTACGTTCAGCAGGTTCAGTACGTTGACTGGTGTTGTTGTTGCTGCTGCTGGTGCTGTTGTTCTCGTTGCTGCTGTTGTCGTTGTTTGGTCCCTTGCGATGCCCTAGTTTGCCAACTCTGTGCAGCTATGGAGCTGTGTGCACTCAGTGAGCACAAGCTCACTCTGTGGGCAACAGCTTAAATTCAGTCGTTGTTGCTTGCTTTGGCATTGAAGCCTGGAGGCATCAATCAGAGAATGAAGGGTATTAGTGAAGTAAAAATTTGCTTCGCGCAGCTTGTCAGGTACTTTTTGTTTGTCGGAGTCTGTATAGCTGTTCATGTGCTGCAAGTCTGCAGAACCTTTTTAAGATGGCAAAGTCAAACAATATCACAATCCAGAAGAGCGAAGAAGCTTCAAGCAGAAACGTAGACTGTGCTGTAAATCAGTCCGGTAGCACTTCACCGTAGTAGGCTATTCGATTGTAGGTGTAATGCTGAAACGGCAAACCCTGCGGAGAAGAGCCGCCGGAAATCGCCGCCCCCCGCACCACCAACCAAACAACCAACAGACAAAAACGGTGAAATAATGACGCCAGATACTGGCCTCCAAGGGTGAGTAGAAAGCAGGCGGGGGCATGATTAGGAGTTGACATGAGTCGACACACTTTTGCCTCTGCAACGATCAGCCCTCGGATTCGGTGCTTGTTGGGCAACGCTACCATGCTTCACATTGTAGCAATCCACTCACCAGAACCCCTGGGCTATCTCTACAGAGCCACGTTTAGTGCAGGCGGCGCTTGGCGAAGTTCCGGCAGGCAAGCCTTGCCAGCGGCACGGTGCACAAAATCGATGCGGTGGACCCAGCGTTCTACTTAAACCCAATTCTGCACAAGTCCTGCAAAGAAATGACCAACGAACCCGAGCTACGTTGACTACTGTCTCTCTGCGCCATTAACAAAGGGTGCTACTGTGCCTTTGGCTGCGTGGCAAAGGGCTCAGGACTAGAGTGCAGAGACAACTCAAACATTAGGTTGGTGATTTATGGTGATTTCTTGAGCTCTGGGGATCAGTTGGAGCATGGGTGCTCGTGATGTGGACTTTTGGCAACGGCAAGAGTGTCCATAAGACAGCAGAAATCCCACCAGCGAGACTTCTAAGCTTCAATCAAAGCACATGGGGCCCACCGTGTGGCTGCTTGATGGCCCAATCCCAATCTTCAGGAGCTCCTCAGCAGCGCGAGCAAACTTCATATACTCTAAGACGATATGATCCGTAAGAGTAAACCTTCCGATGCCCCAGGCCGCTGGCATTGAGGGTTAGCGATACTAGCTGACCCACCAAAGTCGAGTGTTTTCGGGATTGGTCCGTGCTGGGACCTAACCAAGGTGCCACTGGTCCATCTAAGGGTTTCGCAAGGGCGATTCGACAAGCATGTGCTCATCGTGGCTTCAACTTGCAACACACAAACTACGAGTAGAACGGTATGAATCCTGGTATGCGAATGAGCTTGCACTAAGGCTCCCTTCACATTCGCTCCAAGTGGTCTCGTTCAGCCCAGAGGCGAACACAGAAGTTCGGATCGGGTCCACCAGGGGCTGGCTCCTCTGAGCACCCTGAACGAAGGACGGGGTGTCATAGACTACCTGGGCATGCAGAGATCCCATGCTTGGAAGTATCGGAATGAGCAATCAAGCCGAAGCCGATTCCGCCCTGGGCAAAACCAAGAGATGATTTTGCATAAAGTGGACAGCCTCTGATCGAAGACTTACTTGTAGGGTCATCTCGGATCCCGACCCTCATCGAACGATCCCTTCCTAAACAACACATTCCGATCGACTTGACCGTGACTGGCCACGATCGTATCGACAACTGCTGGACTGCGGATCTCGCTGAATTGAGAGTTGTGGGCCCACGTCTCATCATCGAGACGTCCTTAAGTAGCTCGTCCTTACGTAACATCAAAAACTGGCCTGCTACAACTACGCAGGAAAACTCCCGAGCTGCGACTCCAGCACCAGGAACCGTCGTAACTGACAGGGGGACACATTATTCGATGCTCCATGCAAAAGCACAGCAATTGCCGGAGATTCTCATCCAAGCTTTAGGGAGTCTCACTTCGGTGGCCAATGTGGGCAATCAAGACGGCCTCCGACAACAGCCCTTTGACTTCCTTCAACCTGTGCAGTCAAGGACCCTTACAGCCTCAATGCGCCATTCTGGCAACAGCTGATATTGCAAATTGTTTTCGCGGCTCGTGCACTCCCCCCCTTCACCTGAGCAATGGCTGCATGAGCGGCTGACGGAGATCACAGACTCCTGCGCGACGACAAGACGTGACAGTACGCTCCTTCCCCATCCCTTGATAAACACCATTCGGTACCAACCCCGGTCATCAAAGAGTCTGTGCCTACTTATTATAAGAGAGTGCAGTTTGGGCAGAATTGCGATGGCTGGCTGCAATGTTAACGGGATGCATACTTCAGCTATGACCTGGCCAGGACATTGATGTAGGCTCTGCACATCTCTGCATGTCTCAAAACTCTGCCGTTGAAGATATGCCATGGACCTTCAGGAAATTATGTTTGTCTTTGCGCACGACCCTCCCAACAATTTTCTGGTGTAAACTACGAGCTCAAGGCTCCTCGCTGTGCGGCAAGAAACTGAAGAGAGGGTTGGACTCCATTACTACATTACCTGAACTCTGCACCAGGCAGTCCTTGCTCTGGCAGGTCTGGAGGGCGCCCTCCTCGATGTCCACCACATAGCCGGCCATGCAGCTCACCGTATTTAATGGTATGTCTTGAGATATTGCGATATCAGCTGTTGAGATGCGCTGCATGCTGGCAAGCTCGCGCAGGGTTGTTGCAGTTCATGCGATCTGGACCCTGCCATCGGATGTTGTATGATGTTGTCGAATCCTCAAGGCTTTCACAACCTGATGTTGCCAACCCTGCCAGAGGGAACTTACTTCAAACAAGCCCTAGAGCCAAGTTTGTTGAACTTGTGGGAAGTGAAGCCGTTAGCCTTGAACGCTGAAGCCCTGGACCGTGCAACAGGCGGAAAGCAAAACGAGTTGCAAAGCTTGAAATCTGGGTGAAGCAGACCGCAGTTCCCCGAAGTCTTGCGGTAACATGGCCATCAAAAGGAGTGGGGAAGTGGAAAGCCCCACAGTCAAGGAGATGCGCGTACTCAAAGTATTGACTTACGCCAATGTCAAGAGAAAGGGCAGATACCAGGGCGCCCACGTCGTCCGTTCGTGAGTGCCCTCCGTGTCCGTTGTGGGAACCTCGAGCAGGGCAACTCACCGATGCTCTGATTGACTGTTACTCATCAGTTGACCAACAGCTGGTATTGGTTGAGTAAAATTACCTGATGGGTGCCGTTGTACGAGGACTTGCTGGGCCCTCAACTTCCAGCTGAGTGCAGCACCACGCACGCGCCAAAGCCCACCTGCTTGAAAATTGCCTGTACCTGGACAGGGACATCCTGATGGTCAAGCGCTCAAAGCACAATATGTGACTTACTGATGTAAGAATGTAAGATTGGCTTCTGTGGCGGCATCCTCTGAAGGGGTATCCGCGCTGGCACGCGGTACTCAAACACAGCCCTCCCCACTTGTTGCGCTCGAGCGGGCAATATAGGCCGATCAAGCATGCATCCACACAAGCAAAGACTCCGAGCACTAAGGCATCTAAGGGAGGCACCGAGTGTTGAGGACCGACTGTCCCTGTTGGGCCTTCCACGCTGATCCTGTCACTGTCCAACCGCCAGACTCGGACTGCAAGAGCTAAGCACGCGTGGGTCTAAGAGTCTAGGTGCCAGGCACAGGGACATCTGCCTCGCACTCTTGCAGTCAGAATCACACAAGGGTCCCACGACAGCATGAAGCATCTTCTGAGCAAAAGAATTACTCAGTAAACTCTCAGCACTCTCGTTGAGTTGCTCCATGGTGCATCCACTCTCTTCGTACAGCGCAGATAGCTTGTGCTGCAACGGAACCAATGCACAGGTACCACCATATGCATCATGCATCTTGCGGAATCTAGTGGAATCTAGCTGTCCCGGCGCGCAGCTTTTAGATCTTGAAACCAGTCAGCGCATGATTATGGGCGAGTCCGCACCTTGGCAAGATCTCGCCACGTGAAACCTGGGCTATGTTTCTCCCGCATATACAATGATCAACGGATGCAACGGAGCACAACACATCTTGTGTTTGCATCAGGTAAGGCTGGTACTTTGATCAGTCAGTTACTGTAGTCATCCTCAGTAGAAGCAAGGGGACACTTCTATCTCATCGGTTCTGTTGGCCAACGGCTCATTCCAAGCCCATCTCCAGGTCCGGCATCGCCATCGTGCCACGGACGGTTTCTCCATGTGCCCGGTACCGACGCCAAAGAGCCATCCCAGAGACCAACGCCAGGAAGGCCGAGACAAGGAAAGCGGCCAATCCAAATCTTGGTAGGTAGGCTGGCACCGAGGTGAGCAGCAGGGACATACGAGCAAAGAGGGCGTTGTTGTTTTCATCCAACGGGGTTACCACCATCGCGGGAAGTGTCTGCCCGGGTGCTGCGGTGGTCAGGATGGCAAAGACCGGCGCAACATAGCGGGGGTCCGCAGTGGTTGTACCGGCAGCTGTGGCACTTGTGGCTCCGCTGCTTGTGGCTCCGCTGCTTGTGGCTCCGCTGCTTGGGGCTCCGCTGCTTGTGGCTCCGCTGCTTGTGGCTCCGCTGCTTGTGGCACTTGTGGCTCCGCTGCTGCTTGCCAGGGATGAAACAGTTGTCGCCATTGGTGCGGGTGCGGCAGCCGATGAGGTGGTCGTCACTGTAACGTTGTTTTTGCAACCTGTGCCTGCAGTTTGACAGCACCATTCTTGCTTGGCGTGCGACCACTCATTCAGCCAGTTGGGATTGGGGTTGCTACAGACATAGCAGCCTTTGTTCTCTTCCATACAACAGAAGTCCCTCTTCCCTTGTGACCAGGCGTACTCCCAGTGCTCCACCTCTGCGTCACAATCGTAGCAGCCGATCTGCTTCTCCATGCAGCAGTAGGCCTTCTTCTCATCGGACCAGCCCAACTTCCAGTCCATGTAGCCTGAGCTGCAGTCGAAGGGAATGTCGGGGCATCCCCTCTTCTCATGTTTGCAACACCATTTCCGGTGTGGCTCAGACCAGTGGTAGAGGTCAGTGTTGCAGTCATACGCTGGTGCCTGAGTAGTTGTGAGGTTTCCATATGCCGCAAACTGATCGGCCCACTCCAAGCCGTTTCCACTCACGCCAAGGATGGGGTCTGCGCTGTCCAAGAGGCTGTCAGTCGCCACAAGACTGGGGTCAACACCATCCAACATGTCATCATCCAGATCAACAAGCGGATCGGAGGCATCCAAATCATCCGAGATGCCGCCCGTGACTTCGACTGTGGGATCGGTGCCATCCAAGGTTTTGTCATCCACATCAAGGGTAGGCTGAATGTCATCCAAGGTCTCGCCATCCACATCAGCGGCAGGCTCGATGCCGGCCAATGACTCGCCAAGTGTAGCCGCAGTGCCGTCATCCAAGGTCTTGCCACCCGCATCAAGTGTAGGCAGAGTGCCATCCAAGGTCTTGTCATCCTCATCAAGTGTAGGAGTGGCATCCAAGGTCTCGCCATCCGCATCAACGGCAGGCTCGATGCCGTCCAATGTCTCGCTGTCCACACCAAGTGTAGACGCAGTGCCGTCATCCAAAGTCTTGCCATCCGCATCAAGTGTAGGCAGAGTGCCATCCAAGGTCTTGTCATCCTCGCCAGCCATTGGCTCGATGTTGTCCAAGGTCTGGCTGTTCACGTCAAGAGCTGAATCAGTGGCATCTGCTGCTTTGCCGTCCAGATCAAGCGCAGTGCCATCCAAGGAACCGCTGACAACGTCCGTGCCAGCTTCCGAGAGATCGCCTGCCGCCACAAGGGCAAGCAGCAGAAGGATCGAGCAGCGCACCATGCCGAAGTCAGGAAGTTGTTTTGTCCAACTTAGCTTAGCGACGGCTGGCCGATGCTGGCCAATTGCAATTCTATTGTGACGATTTCCTGCAGCATGGTGCTGTTACTGTGCCGTGCGTGTTGCATGGCGCATGTCCTCGCGAAGATCTGAGCACTGTGAGAGCTCTGGGGTTGAGCCACATGGGGACGATTTTGCATGAAATAACCCCTGCGCCGTACAGACAGTATCATACAGAATCATACAGGTACATGCAACGAGCGTCACAAATGCCAGGATCTTGCGGCCTTCTTGTCCACCAACACAGTGGCACTGGCAGATGAGACCAAGCCTGGACTGTTCAACAACTGTTCAACCGTCACCCCGTACTAGTTAAGCTTGCTCATGCCTAACCGATTTGGGGAAGCTTTGCAGCAAGACGCCACGCAACTCCCAAATGCTCATAGCATCCCATGTGCGGCCGAACTTTGCTTCAAGCGGAGCAACAAAACAGAGAAGTCCTCCACGTTCAAAAGTAACTCTTCCAGCAGCCAGTGGTGTATGGAGCAAGCATCCATGCAACAAAAGCACATGCAAGACATCACTAACCCCCAAGTCGACAGGCAGTCTGGGAAACCGAATTTAGATCTTCTGGTACATGCACATGTATATGCACGAAGTTCCGGAAGACTGGGCTCCAACCAAACACTGAGCAGTCGGCTGGGATATAGAGAGTCGTAAACCTCCACCGTGAAGACGAAGAGGCCTGGGAAGATGGAGTGCATCGTTGCAGTGTTTGCAGACTGTGGTCGAGTTTGATGCTGGGAGGTGGGAGATGTCGAAGAGTGTGAGGTGATGACAGTGATGACGTAACTCACACAGTGGCGGTGTAGCGTTTTGGATCCGCATCTGAGACAGCTTCCCCTTTGACCTACACCCTGACATGAGCAATTTGAGGCCTTAAGGTCCAACTCCGCGCATGACGTGCAAAGGTCATTCGCACAACTGTGAAAGACATGCATGATCATGCATGTAGACGTTTGTGTGTATCTCCATACAGTACATGGCATAACGCAATTGTAACAAATATATGTATATAGAAGTATACACACATGACAGGTGAGAGAGCGTGTGTGTGTATAGTTAGTCCATGTGTGTCACTCTTGCTTATTCATCCATCCTCGGCCCTGGTGATGAAGCCAATCCCCTTTGGTGCGTGACCTTCCGGCAGGATCGCCTGCTTCCGCAGGTATACAACAAGCAGAATAATAGTGCTCAACAGCCTGCCGTGAAGCTACCGCACAATGCCTCAAGGTGTCTGGTTGGAGGGGGCTTGGGACTTCGATTAGCTCAGGCTGCCGGTCACTTTGCATTCGAATGCTAAATCCAACTATAGACCCAGACCGCCCTACGCAAGAATTCATACCATGATCGAACCGGTGTTGAAGCATGAACCTACCAAAGCTGGACTCGCAAAAAAGACACTGTCTTGGGTAGACCCTGAGGAGCTACAAATTGGAAGTCAGGTTTGGGCCTAGAGGTGAGACATGCACAGAGTTCTCTTACATACATTGGTCAATTAATATACCATCAGAGCCAACACGACTCTGAAATGGCACACTAGCAAGTAACAAAACGAGGCTAACAGGCCCGAGCGGGTCTCGGCCTGTGGAACGAGCAGTTGTGAGCCGGTAAAGGCTTCCAGGTCGATCAAGGCCAAGGCAACGTTGGGAACCTCGCATCCGCACTGAGATACACTGCATCTTGCTGCCCCCTCGAGCTGAAGCAAAGCATTCCGAACGCAGTCAGCGACCATGTCCGCTACTGCAGTAGCACTGCTGCTATACTGCTATAGATGAGGGTCGTCGGCATTTCACTTGCGGGCGGGTGTGCAAAAGAAACGCAGGCATGTCAGATTTCGTCGTGCATGTTCTCAGCTGGTCCGAGCCGGGCACGTTGATGTGACTTGTTTTGCGCATCGTGTCGCTGTGCAGGGGAAAACACAAACCCCTGCACGAACTAATGATTCAACATGTCCAGCTCATAACGGTACCTGATCTTCTAGGGCCCTGCAAGACATGAATGTGCCTAGTCTGCCGTAAACACGCGGCTATCAGTACACACAGTCTCCAAGTCTTGCTCGAGCGTCGAATGATCAGTAAGTGACTAGGACTGGAACCCCAGCCATTGGTTCAACACTTGTTGGAGGAACTCTGGGCGATGTAGATGTGATGCCGGAAATTAATAAAGGGTGTCAAATCATTTAAACAGCGGGATGAAGCGGGATCTATTGTTCAAATGGACAGCTGCCTCCCGGAAGGCTGAAGTACGGCCAACAGATCCAAAAGTACATGTAACACCGTAGTCCGTGCCCATGGACTACGGAGACGCGCCAGCCGCATCTGGGCCAGGGGCAGTGTAGGTCAGCGCATCGTCGATACCAAGGGCCAGCTGCCGTACACGCCACCTGCGCAGTGTTCGGAAGGCAGCTGAAGGATTCCATGCAAGTTCTGTGAGGCAATGTGAGGTACACAGATTCCCTGGAATGTGTGAATCAAGCTTGCTGTCACGGCGGCACAAACATGCCAATTCTGAGGCACGATTCAGACATCCAAGCAAAGAAGCTCTGAGACTGTAGTATACTGAGTGGCACCCCAATACGTTCATAAAGACATGAAGCCAGGAACGAACCGATCCTGCCACTATCTTCCATATGTGGTCTGGCACACTTGAAGTTAAGAGCCCCGCGAGTACTGCAAGCCCATCAGTGGCTCCTCACGTGCTCAGCAAACAAGCCGCAGCTGGCTAGAGAAGCTTAGAGCGGCCAGAGTATAAGGCTGCTTTCGACAACTTTGGGGTTCTCAGAGGTACAGAGATCGGGTAAGGCTGCAACCACGACACCTGATTGTTGATGCCATACTTGCTCAACCTCTCCCCCGCATCGACAAGGCAAAGCTGTGTTAAAGCAGGTCAAAGATTCAAAGCCAAAATGCTGTCATCGGGCGGGGAAGGCGGGGGGCTCCGGTAGACTGCTTTGTTGGAATACCATCAGACTGGGCTTGGTGGCTAAGTTGCAGTTTTTTGTGCCATGGTCAGCCGATGTAGCACTGCTGTTGCCGGCCAAGGGCCCCCAACGCGACCCAGAGACAAGGGAGCACTCTGCCGGTTCTTTTGGTCACACGAAGGGGTCTGCGTTCCCTAGCGTTCGGCAGTTGGTGAGTGACCGTGACCAGCTCCAAGCTTTAAGAAAATGGCAAGACTCATGACAAGCCCGGTCCGGCGGCGTCTGGTTTGCCTCGTCAGGCACTTTCAGAGTCTTTGCACATCGGATAATCCCTTATAATGTTCTGGACACGTTGCATTGAGGACCTACCCTCTAGCCGCTAGCCTTCGTTGGCAATTCATATAAGGACCTGTGGCACACAAATCCACACAAGAATATCGAAAACTTGCCGCCGTCTCCGTGGCTCGTATGAACAGCTCCCTTGCCTGCAAACGGCGGCCCAAACGCTCTGGAGTGTACATGATCTCGCGAGCCATGCCTTGGCTAGGGCCAGGGAGGGCTATGGTCGCGGATGATTGCAACTGCTTCAGGGACGGGTCGAAACAATGACATAATGAATAACGATTACAACATCCTCTGCACGATGCAGGATCTTGGTCCAACAGTCGCACTGCAGCCGCGTGCGTGCGCCATGTGTTTCTACCAGGCGGTAATATCTGACAGAGCAGCCCCTTCGTGACTTGGAAGGCGAAACCTGGAGTGATCCAAGGCGCTGTTGGAAGCATCCAACGCGAAGGAGCAGTCGTCATTGTTCGCGCGGTGAGGCCCGACAAGACTTGCCTGAGCATTGGACGAAAGACACGATGATTCTCGCTACCTGCTGCAGGACGCGAAGGTCAAGCGGATCTTGTGACATGGGGCCAAAAAGTCGCTAGCTGACTTTAAGGGGCCACTCAACGCTGGCGCACTTCTACAACCGCGACACCCACACCTTAAGCATGAGAGTAATTCACTGGCATGGATCAAGAGCAGCCCCTGTCAAAAGGGCCAAAGAACATGATAACACTACAAGGCACGGCTACAAGAAGACTGCCGTTCACGATGAGTTTCATGAGCAGCATCATAAACATCGGTGTGACCAGAAGAATACAATGCAAGTCTGAAGCCAACGGAGCTGTCAGTTCTGGGGCCCCCGGCCACGGGTGGCTGGAGGTCGCCGACGTGGAGTGTGAAGGGGACGTAGGAGCCCTGCGAACACGAAACGTGACGCTCATCGCACCTGAATGTCTAACGTCTACTACATCTGCTTGTAAGCGCATCGCCGTTCTTACAGTTTTGCTTCCCACAGGCGAACAGAACGAGCATCGACATTGACATACAATGACCACTGCCAGTGCGTTCTGCTGGAAATTGACTTCTAGGATGTGTGACACGATGTACCTTGGCCGAGGCCGAGGATGGCACAACATTCTGGAAACGATGTCTTCTTGAACTCGATCAGAATGTCCAAGACTCGTTCAGGAACTCTTGAAGAACAAGGGGCTCGTCTGACCGATGTGCGGCTTGGGGTTTTGCATGAACTTTGGGCGACGGACGGAGCCAGGACGCTCAAAGCTCAGTGAAAGATAATCTTATACAGGCTGCTCCTGCTCGGCATACGAGCCATGGTCTGATCTCCTACCAGCATCGAGGGTCAAGGAGCTTCATCGGGCTCCTACGGAAGATAGAAGGAGTTTTGACTGTGCCCTCGTTTGGCGCCTCATTCTCCATGTGCACTGCGTAGGCAACGCGAGCTGAGAACTTCCTTTGTCTGCACGGCTTTCAACTGATACAGTACTTGCTCGTTGTGCTCCGCGTGGAATCTACGGCCCAATGGTAGTCAGAGGAACCATTCATCACAGCAATGCATGCACCCTGCTTGCAGTTCTCACAGCCTTCAGATAAACAATAAGACATCTGTCCAAAGTCCCTTAGATGAAGTCCGACATGTACTACAAAGCCATCCCTACTTCTGAGGGCGGCGCGAGGACAAAACAGCACCAGGGGACTGCAACACTTCAAATGTGCAGACATGCTCATAAGCACCCTTGGCGCCGGCAAGCGCAGGCGTGTGTGCCCTTGCGAAACTCCTCGAGAGAACACCTACCCTACTTCTGAGGGCGGTGCGAAGACAACCCAACACTCGGGGAATGCAACTACGAGCGCAGACATGACAAAAGGCCGCTTATGGCGAGCGATGATCTTTGGATAAATGCAACTTCAACACCGTAGCCGCGTAGCCTGTGGCTTACCTTCCAACAGAGACTGTCTCAAATAGGTCTTTGGACTTGTGACTATGGCTCCTATGTCTGTCTCTCCTTTTCGGGGCCCTCACGCATCCCAGAACCCCTCTCGGGACCATGCCAAGTGGAACCGGGCTTCATGATCTCGCCTCTGAGCAAGATCTCCTTAAGAAACGAGGACAACAAAACAGCCGGCGGTTCTCCCACGGCTTTTACTTGAAGCCTTCCAGCCGTGACCGTCAGCAGACTGTCAGCAAGTTTTCAATGCGCTTCATCAACAGACAAGGACATGCACATCGACATGCACGTCATCTCAGACTCTCATATCCCAACTTGTATCCGTACTCGAATGTGCTCGATCCTCCCGCGTCTCTGTGAGTCAAGCAGAATGACGCACAACACGGCACGAGCCTTCTGGCACTTAACCTGATTCCAACTCAGCCGTCGACCAGTACATTGGGGCTGGCGCTCTCGTCTTTGGTGATCTGACCAGCAGCAATGCTCAACTAGACAGGAGTTGAAACCGTGGCCGAACCATCTGCAAGTAAGCTGTTTGGAGCCTACCTTTCGTCTGTTTGAAACTGCCTTTATGCAATTGTGTGTGTGTGTGTATTGTCAAGTAGTTGCAGACATCAGCTTGCGTGTCTGCTTTGACTGGCACGTGCCGAGGATTCCCTTTCCGGTCCCTCTTGGAAATCTTCGGGGGAGCACCTTGGACATCTCAAAGTGCCTTGGCACCATGCCGTTCACCACCTGGCCACGATTTGGATTCGGATCTGAGGAATGCTGCGTTGCTGCAAAATCTGCAATGATGCAGGCTGCAGGCGCCTTCCAAAGGCATTGTCATTCCAGATAGGTCACATAGCTGCAGTTTGTTATCTGACCTATCTGTTCTATCTCCGCTTTTGCCTGGATACCCTGGAGCCTGACCCATCTGCTGAGGTCTTCAATTGAAGCTGCCAATGTTTGCACAACTTTGTACATCAGCTCGGTATGCTCGGTCAGTACACATGCGGTGCACCTCGCCGTAGTACCAGTCCACCACAACGCGGCTCTCCGACCCGTCAGGGTTCGGGGCTTTCGTCAGATTACACCTTGATCGCGCCAGCAGCAGGATTGCTTAGAATTTGCATAAAGCTGTTCAGGGATTCTGCAGAGGTCGAAAACATTCGAAAACCTAGCCTTGCAGGCTTGCCAGCTTGTGGCAGTGATTCGGACTCACAAGCTCTTTGTTTCCTTTGCCGACCCAATGCCTACGAGTTGCATGCGATGATCGACCGACCCTTGAAGGTAGGTGTGCTTATTGGGCGCAAGACGAGTTCGTTGGCGAATGCCCTGACCCAAATAGACAACAGATAAAGGATGAGCGACCGTTGGAGCTGGAAGCCTTTTTGTCCGGCTGAGCCCGCTGCGAGCATCTTCCGATCATCTGCGCATCGCTTTCACTGGCAACCTGTCATAACGGCCGGCGACGCTTACCAGACATGGCTTGAACCTGAAGGACTGCCTCCAGACGCAGTCGTCCAGTTGGATCTCCTTGAAGACGCTGCGGACTAATGTGAACCTTGGTGGTGCGACGAGCTCCCGAACGACCAGATTGCGAGCGCAAGAGTGTTGACTCCAAGTTGCGATCGAAGTGTATGCGATGAAAACAATTGAAAACCTTTAGCAACTCTCTTCTACAAATCTCTGGCCTCGCTCGGACCCACGGCGCCAGCTGCAGGGATGCGCCTTTGGGATGGCTCACGCAGAAGTTCTTGCTTTGATTGTACAGACAAAGGGTTCACAGAACGAAGACAACGCACGTCTTCTGACTGAAAGCCCAGATCGGGGTGGGGAATGCTGGTCGGCCACTCTCTTGTAAGCTTTCCAGAAATGCGACACACTGTCGTGGACCGCAGGGCGTTGTTGCCGCTGGTGGCTTGGACGCATGGTCAGATCAAGAGGGCTTCCCTGCATGCCTGGAACAGTGTCCTACTCATTGAGTACGAAATGCTTGAATACCCCACAACCCTCAACAGTTTCGCCTTCAAGCACTATAGGATCTATAGGGAATTCCCCACTCAAAATTGTTTGGACGTGTTGTTGCTTGCAAACGTTTTCAAGCGCCTGTCAGTCGGCTCAGAAGGAAGCTTGGCGTCACACACAAGCGGGAGTATTTGAGTCGTCCATGTGGCGTAGGCTGCATAGCCTGCCATTCCAAGAGCACACTCAGGTCCTGAATGATGACCCCAGCGTTCACTACCCGTGTCTGTTGCCTTGTCAGTCCTGTTAATCCCGAGGTGACAGCTATGATAACAGCTGGCACTGCAAACAGCAATTACACCCAGTTCGGGTGGGTTCCACAAGGCCCACCGTCTGCGCGTGTGAGAGTGACTCCCAGGGTGATGGCGGAAAGCCTCCAAGCAAGAGCTCCTACACAAGTCCATCGTCAAGAATGCACATGCACAATCAGTTCTGAGAGTCGAGATCGTCAACTGCTAAGGACTGCATGAGAGCTGAGATCGCCACCCGCACCATAAGGATGATGGGATCACCACCCGGAGCTCGCACCTGGGAGTAGATGGAACCCGTGCCTCCAAACCACTGCAAGACTTGCAAAATCTTGCAAACACCTTTTCTTCCCAGCTTCCCAACTTCGTAACTTCTGGGATTCTGGATTCCCTGGGCTGCAGGGCGTCTGGGCCACACTCCCCTCTGCGAAGCCAAGGCCGCACCAGGGCCTCGAGTGATTCGGGCTCGGCAGGGTCTGTCGCAGTCTTCCAAAGTGGGGAAAAGCCTAAGGCCCTAAGGGCCTGGATCTAGCACTGATGCAGAGCAGCCCCGCAGAACAAATGACTGCCCTGACCCTATCTGGTCTTCGGACTTCTACTACAAGTCTCCAACCTGAGTGGTTGCACGAATGGCAAGTGCTTCTTCAACATGCCGCTGCCGCTGCGTGAGCCGAAGGTGCAGCCAACACATTCAGCATGTTGGTGCCATCGCTGTTTGTTTTTGCTGCGTTGCAGTTGGTGGTAGTCCAATCGGATGGATTGTTGATGTTACCGGCGTCTCTGGCATCTGTTTGGTCGGCCTGGAAAGCTTAAGAGTTCAAAGACCAATCGCGGGGGCTCCAACTCCTTGGAACTTGGAGGGCAACTTACTTGACGTTGCAAGGCCAAATGATGCCACTTAAATGGGCTGAATGCCACGAACACAGATGAAGATCGTAAATTATAGACATTCTGATTGCAGAATACACAACCCTAGACTGCAGTCAAGCAAGAGTCGGAGAAGAATCCGAGCAGTCGGCTCGGAACTCTAAGCCCTCTTCTCGAAGGAAATTCTTGTTTTAGTGGACATGTCGATAAAGGCAAAGCATCTTTCCAACTCTTCAAACCTGCGCGCAGGAATTGCTTGGGCACGAGCTTCGTGCGAAGCAGCGGCGCGATCCGACTGGTGCAGGCCGAAAACCTGCAAAGATCCAAGAGAATGAAAAGGTTCCCGATTGGGCTGCTAAAAACCAAGCGCATTGTTGGGCCTAAAGGCCTCACAATATAGGGTCCATGCAAGTATTAGTACTAATGAAACTACGATCATTAGAAGGCCTTGTTACCATTAATATTGGCTGGCCATACTAGTATTCTATTCACTTGTTACATCCGCAGGATCACTGTATTGAATTTGTATATATATATATGCATGTATGTATATGTATTTACCCCAGGAAAGAATAGAATTATATTCAGATTATTAGCCATATTTATATTAGTCTTTGGGGCTCAGTATAATTAGTGGCGGGCAAGCACAACGACCTCAATGATGCCCGTTTCCTCCATTATTGATGACATCCCGTTCAGAAAAACAGAAATACAATATTGCGGGGGTAATAGCAGTAACATAGCTTGTACCCTGAGAGGGAGCAGTCCATGAGAATGCATGCAGAGCGCTGGATTGAGTACTGAGCAGACGGAGGAAATCCTGCACTGTCGAGTCTAAGTGATCATTAAAATTCGTGTGTCTACGACCCGTTTTTGCACTGAAAGGTGGCATGCATGCGGGGGCAGTGAACGATTCAATTGTGTCTGGTCCAAGTCCTCAGAACGTGTGCTTCAGGCCGATGTCAAACAAAAGGCGCGGGGAGAGGCGGCATTCATATGTTTGAAGCGGTGCTGAATTTACTCCATGCACCCCACATCCGCAAAAACAGAAACCATGGATGACGGCGGTGCCATAGTGGTGGGCAGGACTTCTGGAAGCTTATGCAAATTCAAAGCAGATATTGTTTTTCTCAGCTCTAGCTGCGAGGACACTTTGGCAAGCGAGCCCCCCCCCCCCCCCCCCCCCCCCCCCCCCCCCCCCCCCCCCCCCCCCCCCCCCCCCCCCCCCCCCCCCCCCCCCCCCCCCCCCCCCCCCCAACAGCTCCAAAGACTCATGGACAATCGTTCCGACAATCCCCGAGTTGCCCAACTTATTACTTCATTACCCACTGCCTTGTTCGTGATGTGTTCACTCACAGGGTTTTAGATTACGATGCTTGATACAAAAAGCGAGGGGACTTTGCGCCGCATGACTAAAGGGGGAATAACCCTAAAACTTCGGAAGAGACGTCCATCACAAGGAAGACCCCAGCCCAACAATGCTCCAACCCGATCTCTGGGGTGCCGGCAGCCTGTCCTGGCTCTCTTGGGGCAGCGAACCATCCGGCCTTTTTGAACTTTTGGCACCGAGGCAAGCAACATGTTTCTTTCAATGTGTTTTTACGGTTTGTCGGGTCGGGTTTAGAGGTCTGGGAGTCTAGGATGAGATACTGCACACTGCACAGCTACTGTGGACCATGTTGTGCCCCTCTGCACCAGACAGGCTTTCTGAAAGCACAACCCAAAGGTTACATGCAAGAAGCACCACGCTTGCAACGTTGTTTGCATTGGCCTGGTCTCCAGGCACTCCCAGACGACACTTTTCCAGCGGCGGCCGCCGCTTAGTGTGCTCCTCGGTGGACTGTGACATCCACATACAGCAAGCCAGCAATGATCCAGCGAACTCCATAAGATCACTTGTGCGAATGTCGGTGCCGGACGGTACAAAGTTTTGGCTGCAGCATACTGCAGCTTTGTGGCTACAAGGTGCTTGGACTTCTTATCCATTATGCGCCGATTTTGGTAGATCCATGGAAATGACCATTTGCGGCCACAATGGAGCTATGTGGAATTGCTTCATCGGACAGCTGTACCAGATTCCAGCAAACGTCCGAGCACCCGTTGCAGGGAGACTCATGTGCAGAGTGTGTCTGTGTGGACGGTTGATGTTGGCCATTCACCACCGGTATACGAAAAGGGGGGGGGGGGGGGGGGGGGGGGCGGAAGAATGGCCTAGATTTGCGTCAGATAAGGATTCCAGAACTTTTCCCATGCAAACTGTGCACCCCTCAGGTCACCAGTCAAGAACTACTGATTCCGGCAGATCTGCTTCTCAAGTTCTAAAGGCAGACAGTCCTCTTCCAGCATCAGGATGGGTTAAGCATAAAAATCGGAGCTAAGCTCTTGTTCTACAAGTCCACAGTCTGCTGTTTCACGAAGCCACAGCAGACAAAGCCGAAGGCTTTGTGACAACATTCCACATCTTCGAAGATCTTCGGCAACCTTTGGGAAAACCCCGGAATGTCTTGCGATATCTTGCGATGTTTTGTGTGGCCTCAGGGATGGAGGCATCTTGGGGCCCAGCGTGTCAGCAATGACCTGCAGAATGCAATTCTTCGATTTAGAGGCAGAAATCACGACTACCGCAGGCTTTTGAATGATCATGCTTCAAAGCAAACATATCTCGTCTGCTGCAGATGTAAAGTGTGCAGGCGGAGCAGTTGCCCACCAGTTCCCGTGCGCTCCAAATTCAGGGCTTCGGGCTTGAAGCCAATCACCATGCAATTCCGTCCCCTCTGGACTCACAACCCCAACAATTTCTACGCCTCCTCAGCCGTCACACTGGCACGTGCTCCACACTTTACGACTTGACCCCCTCGAGAATATGGGAGGAGCGAGGTTGTTTGAAAGTACCTTTACTTGCCAGGCTTGCACAGGTGCACTATCTTCGACGTCCACTTCCGCTCCACTCGGCTCAGCGGCCTCGAGGTCGCCGCATCCACCCATGTCGGTGGGACCACGCAGGATGATCTGCGAAGGATGCAGGTCATGGTGTCATGGTTCGCAGCAATCAAAGGTGTTCATGGCAAGGGCCAAGGGGGCACATGGCCGAGTGCATAGGGTTGCCCAAGGGACTACATGATAGCACGAGGTATATACGCACGTGAGGGTACTGCCTGCACTGGGGACAGCTTGGGCTTTGGATTTGGGTTTTGGTGCAGTGTGCATCTCACAGACAGAAGGTGTACCCAAGGCCAGATCTCGATACACACGTACAGGCCTGAGGAACCTCTGGCATATCCACAGGGCTCTGAACCAGGGCGTGCACTCGCTTCCTGGAAGCAGGAGCTGAAACAGAGCTTGGAGTTGCGTAGTACATTGGCATGCTTTTAGGTTTGGTTCCTTCCTACAAGTGCCAGACACATGCATAGTGATCAATCTCGAGAAGGCGCTTGCGAATGAAAAGCTGAAAGTCTTGTTTGGAGTCTGTTCTTATGGTGCCTAATATGTCTTTTGAAACGAATCTCACCCAGCAGCAGGCAGAGACTGTCAACGTCTGTGCGGGATTTGGGGCTTTCAGTCCAACCTGACTGTGGATCTTCCAGGCTGCATCGATGGGTTTAGCGAAAACCAGAAAGCATCTCATGCAGCATGCATGAGCGAAACCATGGTAGGAATGCAGAAAGGGCTGGAAGCGTGCTTGCCGTTTTTTTGCATATTTTTGCATGGATGCCCAAGCGACCAACCTAAACCATGGACCCAAGCAGCTGGGATCTTCGAGCCTGATCATGAAACCTTGAAAGCAGGAATTAATCTTCTTTATACTTTGACCTCGTGGAAGTGCTGACTTCGTACGTGTACAAGCCATTTATTCTGAGCAATATAGGCGAGATGATGCGGGATGCAAGACCTTGCATTCTTGAAGCTCGACTCAAGCGAGGCCGCGACCCAGTCACAGTCACTGGCACAGGCAGCTCGTTGGCAAACTTGTCCTCTGCCGTTGCAAGAATGCGCTCCGAAGCCCAACATGTTTACATTGGGTCTACTACGACGACAATTCTAATGGACGTCCTTCCCCATGCCACGAGGATGCAGCCGGCTTCGGTCAAAGAACAGCTCTGCGGTGTCCCCCCTGAGCAATCAAAAGCTGACATCGAGGCTCAGAATCTGTCATGGGAAACTGAGCAGCTACAGTGTTACAAACAGTACAGTAACGAGGAGCTGAGTGAGGCACTTCAACCAGCCCAAGGCATCATAGCCTTCAGGCCGAGCAATGACGGCCTGAGTCTACTCAAGCGACTCAAGCGATGCACAGACCCTGAAGCCCTAAACTACTTCACAGACTCTAGATTCACGAGCCATGACTCCCTTGCAGCCCCCTGCGCTGCTAGTCAGTGACTCTGTGGAACTATTGGGACCGCCAGAATGATAGCACGACTCTGGAGACTTCTACATGTATGATCATGATGGAATGCATATGAACACAGCATAGTCTGCATCTTGTTTTCACGTTGGAGCAGAATCGATGGGAAGCTCAGATCAAGTACACTTCGCCAAGTGCATCATTGGTTTCCCGGGCCGCACATCAGAACAGGCTCCCAGTAAAGTAGCCACAACAGTACTGAAGTTGATTTCACTTGGCGCCACCAGGAAAATTTCATGGCAGGCTGCAGCTGCTTCCTAGCTGCAACCGGCAACGGGCACACTACCTGTATTATGTACTGCGCATAAACATCATGAGACTGCAAGCGTCTACGGTCACTCCAAGCCAACTAATCGTCGGAGTCCGAATCAGGCTGTGGAGTGAACACATGACCGTCGCTGTACCTGACAGTCCGGCAGCTCAAACATTGGACTGCCCATGCAGGTCGAGTTTTAGCACCTTCAACCTCCGCAGTGGCAAGTGCCGCACTGCATGTGCCGGAAAGTATGTACCATGGCGATGAAACTGAGCAAATCCAAAACGCAGATGGCCAAAGTACAGCAATCAAAATATGTGGGCAGTTCCCTGCAGCCAGGGCGCTGCAACCCCGTGTAGAAGCTGACGTTGATGCAGTTCATGTCCCACAACTTCCGGCCGAGCTGCAACGCCTCGCAGGTGTTACAGGACAACGCTTCACAATGAAACTACGCATCCTCATGAGTGCGGGCGGGCGGGCGATGGCTGGCGGGCGATGGCGGGCGGGCGCCCGTGCGTCCATCCGTCCATGCATTCATGAGTCCGTGCGTCCGTGTGTCCGTGCGTGCATGCATCCGTGTGAACTTGTTAACCGGGCATTGCAATGACAGTTTCGCATTTGGTGAACGCAGACGTCCAGGTGATGACCATGCCGGCCACGCCCGCGACTAGGCCCAGGTGACAACACGATTGACATCCGAGATACGAGTGTGTTTCGAGAAAAAGAGCCTCTGTGCAGATGTGTGTGTGTGTGAGAGAGAGAGAGAGCGTGTGTGTGAGAGTCTGTGAGCGTGTGTGTATGTGTGTGAGTGAGAGTGTGAGAGTGAGTGAGTGAGTGAGTGAGTGAGTGAGTGAGTGAGTGAGTGAGTGAGTGAGTGAGTGAGTGAGTGAGTGTGTGTGTGTGTGTGTGTGTGTGTGTGTGTGTGAGTGTGTGAGTGTGTGAGTGAGTGTGTGTGTGTGTGTGTGCGTGAGTGTGTGTGCGTGAGTGTGTGTGTGAGAGTGTGTGTGTGAGAGTGTGTGTGTGTGTGAGTGTGTGTGAGTGTGTGTGAGTGTGTGTGAGTGTGTGTGTGTGTGTGTGTGTGTGAGTGTGGGTGTGTGTGCGTGCGTGCGTGCGTGCGTGCGTGCGTGCGTGCGTGTTTGCGTGCGGGCATGCGGGCGTGTGTGCGTGCGTGCGTGCGCGTGCGTGCGTGTGCGTGCGCGTGCGTGCGTGTGCGTGTGTCTGGGTGTGTGTGCGTGGGTGCAGGCGGGCGGGCGGGAGGGCAAAAAGCAGGCTGTCTGTAAGCAACACTGACAACTTTGTCGAAGGATGCTGCACTGGCACTGCTGTGCAGGCCAAGGGCTGTTCTATCATGCGGTTCTAAGCCCATCCGTGTGGCGTGCCACGTTTTCAATGTCGGGATGGCCTTCACTAAAGCCTTCGTCCTCTCCGCTTCACCCGGCTCGTCCTGACTGAAAGCTTGGTACTTGCCAGTAAGATGCGCTCTGGGACAGGAGACTGTCATTGAGAGTAATGAAGGTCTAGGCTTTGCTCTGACTTTCTACACGTACAAGCCTATGATCGACCACCCCGCCCCATGCGTCGGATTCGGGTTCGAACCAAAACAATCCGGCGAGATTTCCAAACATTAAGACCCCAATTAGTCCGGCTTGGCCTTGAAAACCTCCAAGTCTTTGCTGCTACTTCTGCTCAAGCAATATCTTCGTAGCTGTCGGACACCCTTCCTGCGCCCAAAGTCCGTACATGCAACACACCAAAGCTTCTTGCTTTGGGGGATCCAGGAAATCACAGAGATGAAGCCCAAGCTTTGAGGAATCCAAAAATCCCTGCAAAGCACAAGCAAAGGATTTGGAGCAAGAACTCCTACTAAAACTGGCCACCACATGTTCAATGGAGATGGCCGGGATTGCCTTTCAATACCCAGGCCTGAGTTAATCAAGCCCCCCCCAAAGTTCATCAGGCGACCCCGACCCGGCAGAATCCCAGAGTTTCGGCTGGCTCGAAGGAGTGAAGGCCCAGCAACTTTGAGGAATCCTACAATCCCTGTCAACCAGAGCATGATTTTAGTGCGGACTCTTATCAAAACCAGCCGCAGGCTGTAAAGTCAGCTCGCCAAAGAGCAGAAGCTCCGAGCAAGGGAGAGAGGGGTAGGCGAGTGGGAGGGGGGGGAAAACTTGCACGACAACTTTTGATGCTGCGCGTTTCTAACCATGGCAAGGAACTCATCAAGCTTTAGGATGGTGAAGGCGCGCGCTACGACCCTACTGCCGATGCACCACGAACCAGCTGTCGGATGCTGCACAACCGATGGTCCTCTGGTGGCGGTGGCCTGGTCCAATCAATGGAGAAAGCCTTCGGACAAGGAGGCCTAATACCACGCATCCACTGTTACGCAACAGTACCCCCACATTGATCAGCCTGGGAAGGCGCGCACAACGCTCACACTGTCATTCTTTTTGGGACTTCTGCATGAAGAACCGCAACATTCATGTGATGGAACTCAAGTCCTCGAGGCATGATCAGTGCTCGGGAGATAAAGGATGAAAACTCGACCCCATCGTCCGGATCCTCATTCTCCCCAGTCACCCTGCCCGCGGCCCTCTGCTGGCGCTTTGAGCTTTGTGCCCCCGAATCGACTTCCCCCGCCAAGCTGTCGACGCGTAGCGTTTTCCACGTTTACAAGTACACTTCGCAAGGTGCAAAAAAGCCGCTTGAATGACAAAGCCATCTCTGACACTCGGTCTGAGGAGGGAAGTCCCAGGTTGAAAACAGGGAGAAGGGAAAGGGGAAGAAATCCAACCTCTCCGCCGAGAGACCTCCAAGTGTGGGCACCTCGTGATGACTTTGAGCAATAGATCCTGCACAGCGCACACAACATTATCATGCGAGTAAACGGCGGGGATCTTATGACGATCGACAAGTGAGAGCTGCATGCAGACGTATGTGCTGCAAGTGGCACCCTGGCTCGGCCTAGAGCTTAATTCTGCTACAGGCAGTGGTGTATGGCATGTTTCAATGTTTGAAATGTCTCCGCTCCCTTCGCTTTCTCTTCTCGAAATGCTGGCACTACACAGATGGCACTACACAGATATGCAAGCTGGTGAGTGACTGAGTGACGCCGATCAGTCGTGCCGACATCCCAATTCGCCATCCATCTGAATTTGAACACCGAGGCCTGGCATCACAAATCCTAAGTCACTTAAGTCACGGAGTCGTTCAGCTGGAAGTGCCAAACCCCCACACAGTCCGCGTCCTCCTGTCCACCACCGAAATCGGGGCAGACCTCCTGTTGCACTCAGAGCCCCCGCTAACTGGCATCCCCCAGGTTAACTTTGAAAGGAACCTCCCCCCGAAAACAACTAGACCTCTTTCATAAATTGGTGGCTTTAAAGTCGATCTAGAGTCTACGCCGGGATATTTATGAAACCTTCAACACCAAGCTTCTTCACACCTAAACCCCGTGAGCCCGAGCCCTTCAGACTCAAACATATTGGGATTCAGCCTCTAATAAAGAAGGGCCCTGATCACAAGCGCAAAGGCCGTGCATAACCCGACTTGTTGCATTTCAACCACTTTTACTGAAAGAAATATTGGATTTACTTCTTTGATTCGTCAATCGTCTTGGCTGCACAATGAACACCTATGGTGTTGAGTCTGCTATGATGCGTGAAAAATCTTGTCCAAACTTTTCAAATCATGCTTCAGTCTGGGATTGGGAATTGCGGCGACTTGCGTTCAACGCTGGGTCAAGGTGCAAGCAGACACTGCCGGGTGCATATGGCTCGAACTTAGCGTTTCAAATTCTACTTCGCAATTCTAGCCATTTCTAGCCTACATACTCCAGCAACTTGGAGCTGAGCAGCACAGACTGGCCAGACTGGCCAAGCGCAAACACTGCATCATGTTGCAGCAAAGCAAGCCTTGTGGTTGCCCTTCGCATCTTTGGTCTCGCTTGCCTGGGCTCGGCCAAGAAAAAGTGTCGCGGCCGCACACGCCACAGCAGTGTCAGCTTGTCCCCAAAGAAATGCCTCCACATCTCCGTCCCGTTTAGAGCCTTGGACTGCATCCTGCTGCGGAGCTGCGTTGACGAAGAGCCGCCGCAGCTTCCGAGCCCGAGCCACCAATGAGAGAAGCCTCTGGCTGCCCAGTACTCCGCAGCACTCGAGGCCTGCAAGTGGCTCAGGGGCGCGTTGACTCAGGGCGTTGTGATGTGTTGTGGATTCTTGGGGGGGGGGGGGGGGGGCCTGGGGGCCTTGACATGAGGGCAATGCATGACCAAGTACTAAGAGCACAAAAGGTCTGCGTCCTCAGAGCTTCCAAACACCCCAGCACCTGAAAAGCTTTAGCACCGGTTCGGTTCCTAGCAACAGTGGACCTGTTTGAGGCACCCAGCTCAAAGATCTGGCGAGCGCATGGCACAGAAAAGTTCTCGACCCAGAAACCGGTATCTACAGTACAAGATCACTGCGAGATTTGGCAAATTTGGCAAGTTTATTATGGTTGACCTGGGCCCCGAAAATCAAAACCTGCACCATGCCATCAGCCAAATGGCTCCGCAGCGTTCTCTCGCTCTGCTGAGCAAGCTCTGGCAGTGCCTCCCCAAAAAAACTCAGCGATCGCCGGGTTTCGAAAGTTCAGGAAGAGAGCTGGCCATAATTCTAGGTGTAAGCCGTAGAGATCAGGCTAATAACGGCTAATACTTGGATGTGATATCCTCTGCAGGATTGGCCATGTCAGTCAAAGTCTACCTAGAGCCTGCAAAGGCCTTCCGGCCTCGACCAGCATCTGCTCCACGCTCGCCGGCGACAATTTTTTAATATGGAGCTCGCGGAGGCGCAAGCTGCGCAGCGCCTCCGAGAGATGTTTACACCAGTTTAGACCAGTGCTCAACGCTTTACAGTCCTATATCAGTAGTCCATAGATCCTGCAGCGCAGCACGAGGTGCCACAACCCCGACTGCCTAAGAATCATACACATCTTCAAAGAACAGGTGCATCGCTGCCCTATACTGTGAAGCGGAACCCTTGGAACTGTTGGACGGTCAAGGCATTCCGGCTGTGCGCACGTTGCCTGCGCAAGTCTCGCTCTTGGATCCGTTTTGGCATGCTCAACAAGCATGTTGCAGAAAAACCACTCTTGCATTGATCCCTTGCTGAAACGCCCGACAACATGCGCAAAGGACAAAGCGGGCTGAAACGCCCGAGAACATCCGGAATAGACAAAACGGTCAGGGCTCCGGAATTCACGCGATTGAGGCCTCAGCCAAGGTCTCGATCGCCTTACCTTTGCACTCGTGCTCCCTGGCTAGAGGTAGCCAGCTTTTGGAATGGAGCAGGCCATGCACGGACTGCAGTACGCCATTGGCCAGGCCATCCAGGCCGAGAAAGAAGACATACAGAGATGTACTGCCAGTAGGGTCTGCAGAAGCTTACCTGGATTGAGGTTCTCAAGTTCCTGCCTCCACAAAGACTTCTCCGCCTTCTTCAGGAACGTTGATGTCGAGGAGCCAGAGCTCCTTGACAAAGCGAGGCCCTTTTTGCAGAGCTTCGTGCAAATGTTCTCGAAAATAGTGACCGGTACACACACACACAGGAAACACGCTCTCCTCGATGTCGGGGCAGTGCTCTGCCAATGGCACTAGGAGCTCCCTCAGTCGCAGTAGGCTGCAGTACCAGAACATAACGTGTGTCTCGCATGACCGTATCTTGACAGCCCAAGCCTGCAACCTTTTAAGCTCCATAATGGTCGCTTTGCGCGCTTTGTCACTCAAAATACTATTCTCCTTCAGCAACTGCAGAAGATGCTAACAATTGCCAACATGGTGCCGCAGCGATTGCCAATCCACCTCCCGGGGTTCGAGGAAAGCTTGCGATCGGATCTCAATGAGCGGTCCAATATCCCACCCTTCTCAGTGGAGCTCGGAACTCCCTGAAGCCGACAGCCCCCGAATTCCCGAATCTCAGGGGCCTAAGCTTTTTAAGGGCTTAACAACCCCGCCCACCTGATGCAGCCCCAGTCTTCGCAGCTGGCCAAACTGCAGGATTGCTGCCTTACGGGAAGCTTGGCTCTAGGGATTTGGATCGGATCGGGCTCGTTCAGCTTCTGGTTGGATTTGGGAGGGCTCGTATTGCCAAAAATCAGCACTGGAAGGGGGCCTGGAGGGGATCAGGAATGTAGCCTCATGTAGCCTAACTACCCACCTGTGCTGAACTTCCAAACCTCATGAGGGAAGAACCGACCCTGGAGGCACAGGCTCAATCATTTGCGGCTTTCAGTACAAGTAGTCTCATGGCTCATCCCGGACCCCTTATAAGCCCTTATCAAGATTTGGACTTAGCATTCGTGACACAGACAAGCCTAGTCTGCGAAGTACCCTGAAGACAAGGCCTGGTCGCACCGGAGTCACTCGAGCCCTGCACTACAAGGTTGCATATGGCTGCAAGATTATCTGTTCGGGATGCTTTTCGGCCTCACGACAGCCAGACTTACGCTGAAAGCCTGGATCCAGGTCTCGACGATGACGTTAAACTGAATGTTAAAGAGGCACGCTCATGTCGGTTGTCAAAGGAAAGCCGTTCATAACGGCAAACTCTCTGACCGGCGCCTCGCCAACAAAAAACAACACAGGGATGAGACTCTGCCTGGTTGATGGCCAGCAGCTGAATGCATGAAATGTGCAACAGTCCCGCATTCGCTGTGCAGATATGTTCCTATTCTCGGCCATCTCAGGGGAGGGGGAGGGTGCAGAAGCCTGCTCTGCGCGCAAGTGTGCATATGGACCGTCCTGCCTGTCGGATCTGCTGCATGAGCTGCAGCTCCTGAGCCCCATCCTCGTCAGACTACTTGGAGGTTCATGGTACTTACAAACCACTTATAACCGTACTTAAAACCCTACTTATAAAACCCCTAAAGGGCCTTATAGGGGTTATCCCAGTTATAAGTAGGGTTATAAGCCCAGTTATAAGTGGTTATTAAGTCCCATGAACCTCCAAGTAGGAACATCGATTAGCGCCCTGACCCATGTGGCTCAAATTACTTTTATCGATCTTTTATCGATGCACCGAAGCCGGACGTAAAAAACATCTTCCCTAATTCCATGGCCTCTAATTCCACATCACTGTCAGGTTAGCTACATTCGGGTTCGTCCCCGGTAGTATCCTGCTGTGTATGGACTAGTACACCAGTGAAGCAGGCTAGCATGTGCCTCAGCGCGACAAAGGCGGACTTTTCCTTTAAAGATGTGGCAGCGCCAGCCCAACCAACCCGCAGCCCAGAATGCCAAAGCATGCCAACGCCAAAAGCTTCCAGTGGGAGGCATCTCTGGCCTCGGCAGGACGTAGGCCGCGCATGGGTGCCAGCTTCGACAGGACCATGGACGACTGAGGAAAGCCTTAGGGTTCCATTGAGCTTCGGGTTGAAAGTTTGTTGCTTCCGATTTTTCGTGTTCGTTTTGGCGCTCGCGCGCTGCTTTCCATCTATGAGCCTTGCTGGATGCTTTGAGGGATCGCTCTCGTGGATTGGTTGCTGTGACGGGCCGTGTTCGAGAATAGGAGCCTTGCATGAAGGTCTTCGGAAATAACTTTAACTCAGGTTCCAACCCTCAAATACCGATGTGTACTCATTGCCAGGGTGACACCTAAAGCCTTCAATTTGAACCCTGAGATGCTCTGAGAACGTAACAGTCCCAAGTTATCAACATCTACTTTGGCATCACGACTCAAGCTGATAACTCCCTAAACAAGCCCTAGAAATGACCTCACCAATTGTGTCCTCATCGCCCCATGAGTGCAGTAACTCTCGCTGGTTCTGAGTGGACCCTTGACTTGGGAAGTTCAAGACAAGAAGATCCGCTCTGGCAGATTCTTGCATCAGTAGAAGCCAGCTTCGCAGCAAAACTTCCAGAAAGCCACGCGGTCCTCCTTCGCGGGCGGGAGTAGATGCAGGGTGGCCAGCAAGGGACCTTGGCAGCACCAAGAATTTAAGAACCTCCCCCCTCAAAAATCATTTTCGAATGGAAAGCGTGTTCCTTGGAGGAACTATGACATATAGATATGAACAAACACGAACAGATAGACTGGCGCAGAGACTTGCCCTCTTTGCTAGTGTCTTGGCGAAGGAGCGATACCCTTACATAAACTCTTTGGCCGGAAAGAACTGTACCTTCTCCGTGCTGTCGCAGGTCATGGCTACTAGATGGTATTGATGTATTGGGCATCACTTTACAGACCGGCTGCGCAATGTAAGTGGTTCCAGTGCGGGCTTTTTGCTATTACCGCTGTTCTAATCTCATCGATGACTGCGTGCATCTAAGTGCCCTGCACGATCGAAAGAGGTCGCGCAATGTATCGTAGTGACACTGGAGAGCCTGTCAAGCACAAATATCGTCTGTAAACAGGGAGAATGAATGATGTGCACTTCTAGGCAGCTATAGATTGGGCGTCTTGAGCGCAAGCAGTCCTGGTGAAGCAAGCATGCTGTATGGCAGTGCGTCGTTTGAGATTGCGTGAGTGCTGCATGTCCAATCTTGCAAGGTTGATGCCTCCTAACTGCGCTGATCACATATGCCGGGCACTATTCCCATTCCCCTAGTTTAAACGGGGGGCTCCCCCCCCTAGAGAAACTCGAAATGTGTTTTAATGTTAGGGGGATGTTTTTATCCATATGCCATCTTCTGGGATTGGGTTTAGATTGGCTTGAAGGTTTTTTGAGGCCCTGAACCCACCCCCCAATTCGGCAGGATTTTCCGGAAAGTATTTTTATAATTGGGGGTACGTTTAATACAAGGGGGATGGGATTATGTCACTACATATGGTACAAACCATGTCGATGGACCACGACGTATCCAACTCTGGGTACATATTCAAGAAGCACGGCCTGTATTAACAGGCAGTGAAGGCCCCTTACCAAACCATCTTCGCCCATGCCGTGCAACGCGAACTCATGTCTGAATGGATGTCGGGAGGCTCCAGGAGCCACCCTGGTCTGATCGTCATCGTAGTATTCCTTGGCGTACAGCGCGGCAGTCCCAGAAGCTAAGCGAGAATCCACAGCAGCGCATGGTGAATGTAGAGTGTCACCTTGCGATGACAGCCAAAACTAAATGTGACAGGATAAGCTGACAAGAGAGCAGCACCAATCCAGTACTACACCGGCCAAGAGTCGACAGAAAAAGTTTCGATCCTGCCGCGAATATCCGAGAATGTCGTCGCCAACCTGCAGCAACAAGATTCAACAAGGCCCTGGGTTAAGTTGATTGCCTGGTGCTTAGAAGCAGGGCCTATATAAATCCCAAGCCGTGGTCTGCAGCAAAGAAAGCCATTTGACTATTTTTACACAAATGAGTCAATTAACTACTGCAGTCCGCATCTTCAACCTGCCAGTGTCCCCGCCCCAGGCTCAGCCCACAAAGTCGTTGCGTGCACCCGTGCACGGTGATAGGTGCGGTTTCAAGGTGGAGTGCTTGAGGTTTGAATTCGGTGTGAAAAGTGTGAAACGTGCCACTTTGGAGGGGCCAGGCCTCACGTCAAGGATCTCCAGCTGCGGGCACCCACCTGCGAGAACTTTCCTCGGTGTCTTCAGGGACAGTTGCACTGCTGCATTTAAGTACAATTCAAGCCGGCCATTCCGTCCGCATGCAAGCATGGATGCGGTCGGCGAGGACGACGACGAGGAGGACGAGGTCGAGGACGAGGAGGACGAGGAGGACGACGAGGACGACGAGAACGACGAGAACGATGAGACCGACGAGAACGACGAGAACGACCAGAACGACCAGAACGACACGAACATCAAGAACCTCAACAGCCACGACAACCACAACAACCACCACAAGCACCACAACTACCACAAGCACCACAACTACAACAAGCACCACAAGCACCACAAGCACCACAAGCAGCACAAGCAGCACAACCACAACAACCACAACAACCAGAACAACCAGAACGACCAGAACGACCACAACGACAAGGACAAGGACAAGGACAAGGACAACGAGGTCGACGACGACGATGACGACGACGACGACGACAGCAGAAACAGCATCAGTAACAGCGCCAAAACGACGGTGTTTAGGTCCGCAGTCCCGAGGGTTTTTAGGAGAGCATCACTCTTGCATGCACTACAGACAACTGGCCCGAGCATGCCCGAGCGAGACAATCTGCAATTTCTGATATCCCGTTGACTTTCAAAGGCTTCGCCTGACTATGCTCCTCAGCCTACAACAGTAACTCGAACGCAATCGCCGGTGACGCATGTGCAGCTGGAGAGCAACATCTCCTCGTATCCATGGAGGTTCTGACGAGACATGTGGGCTCCCTGGCAGGCATGTCATGTTCTAGTAAACTTGTCTTCCAGTTGCAGCTTGTCCAAGCATCTTCAATGGACAGCCGAAGCTTGCGTGTTTCGCTCTGATGCCAAGAGCAGGCCTGCGTGCAAATTTTGAGGCGCTTCAGTTGCGGGCATCTCCTGGCGACATGCGCCGCGAGCACAGATCTTCACGCAACTCGAAGAAGGCTTTCTATTGGCAGCTATCTCGACGTGGCAGTCGAGCTGTTGACAACATCTGAACACAAATCTTGCCGCTGCACCTCAGCATGGAACAAACGAAGACCCCCAAATAGTCTTCCGGCGCGTTGCAGGAAGTCAAGATCCTTGAGCAAGCAGTCAGGCACACTAACCATTCTGGGAAGTTGGCTAGGCAATGATGATTACCCACGAATCTGCGCCACAAGCCTTACCACTCCCGTTTGAAATGCCTGCAAAAATCTTAGTCTGGAGGATGTTAGCAAGGAAACATCATTCGAGACGTTGACATCTGCCTGTTAACTGGTTGTTCGAGCAGCGACTTCCCAAGCACTGCCCAACATAAAAACAAGGGAACACAAAGGTCGTAACAAAGAGGAGCAGCTCCAGCTCCTCCAGTCGGTCGCTGGCCAGCTCGAAGATTTCATTTGTGTCCGCCTCGCACTGCAACACCTCAAATGGCGAGAATGGAGTGCCCAGAAAATCGCGTCGCTGGGTCTTAACAAAAGAAGCATCAAAAGAATATTCCCCCCCCCCCTTCTCCCCCACGATTCCGAGGCCATCTAAGTCTTGAAGGACGTTTAAGGACCAAACCGTGCGTTTTCAGCCGAGTCTTTTGAGCCATGCCGAGGCGCCAGCTGCCTGGGCTTGGACTTCCGAAGCAGCGGCGAGACGGTGTTCTGGAGCCTTGGGCTCTGAGGTAAAAAGAAGTCAGAAAACATGCACTTTGTCAAAACCACAATGTGAAGGATTATGAAGAAATGTGACGCGAAGAAGTGAAAAGACATGTGAAGAGATGTGAAGTGCTAAAGCCTGTTGGCAAATACCTTCATGTGTGGAAGCATCTCCTCCAATTTGGGACAGCAAGCAGCAACATGAAGGAGGCTAGGCAGGGGAAACCTCAGGCGTTAGTACGGTTTAGCCAGTGTCAAGCCATGGTTGCTGTTGCTGTGGTAAGCATGACGCGATCTGCCTGGTGTGGGAATGGGAACACTCATGCAGGAATCATGTTTCTCCGTGATGGCATTTCATGCAGGACCAGCTGCAACTCCTCTCGATTCCGACAAATGTTGTGCCCAATAAGCACCGCTCGTCCTGCCCGGCTCGCAACAACCCGAGAAGCTTGGAGCCCCCCTGAGATCATTCCACTCCCGGATCTTGTCAAATCCTTCCCCCTCAACCTTCGCCAACTGAAGGGATGAAAGTACATGCCAGACTATGCCAGTGTGTATGACGTCTAGCTGCCTAGCTTGGCATCGATCAGAGAAAGCTTACTTAGCCCTTACTTTTGTGCCGAAGGCTGGGTTCGAAGATACCATTGAACCACGGGCTGCAAATCCCTGTGGCCATGCCTCGGTCCAGGGGGGCCCCAGGGGACTGACATTTCTGAACCTGTCCTCCTGTTCTGCCAGGAGGTAGCATGGCTTCGCTGTTCACGCCTTTCTGCCTCAGTCTTCTTGAGATTCCCTGACACAGGACGTTCGACCCCAACTACGACGACATGTTGGTGCACACAAAACTGAATCATCGCTGCAAGAGAATACTTTGCGCAAGAGCAGCCAAGGTACAGATCCCTTTGCGTTCGGATGCCCCAGGCGCTCGGTACCACATGGAAGTAGGCATCGAAACTGGGCAGTCGCTGCCGCTGGAAAGATACAGCATGCCGTGATGACGTGGGCATCTGCATAACCAATAGCCACTAGCAGCAGAATCCTATTTAAGCTTCCTACAAATTTGGTTTAACAAGTACAAAACCAGAGAAGCCTGGCAAGTCTGCACATGTCTACACCTACAGTACCCCTTCCAGGTCCTGCCCACGCATGTGCATTCAGGCTACTCATGGTAGCAATCGTCGATGCCAACGGTGTCAATTCCCTGGCTGGGTTGGATGGTCGGACGATGCAGCGTCCGTCTGGAGCCCAAGGAAAGAGATAAAAGAGCTAGGGAGCCAGAGTTGCACAAATTTCGTTCAAGTCCATCCGATTTTCTCCGCAATTGTCGTTTGTCTTGCACCGGTTGCCACGCTGCCACAAACCCATATCGTAGTACCAAAGCGCAGATGACTCCCCGAGAGCGGCACGAAAGGTGCAGCAAAACACCTCCCCACAACACGCAACACGCTCGCAACACGGGTTTGCCTCTCATTCAGACTTACTTGCAACACGTTGGGCAAAACAAGGGAAAGTAATGGCGACACAAGCCCGGCTCTACGGCACCACAATCACCCGAAAGTCCCTTGAGTCTACTGCGTTCATCTGTTGCCTCGCCCTCCAATCGGTCGAGGATGCAGCGGAAGGTGTTCATCTGGAGGCCCACGCAGTTCCAAAGCAGAAGAGCCTTCTAAATCCAGGAGCTCAAGCAATCATAAGGATCTGCATTTTGGGGCATCGCTTTGGAGCAGAATTGCAAATTTAGCTTCGGCATGCTTCGGGCTTCCATGGGTTCGCTTGCAAAGTGGCAGCAAGTGTACCCCCACTTTCCGGCAGATGTCCATTTGCTGGTCTTCATGTGCAATCCTGAATCCCATCGAGCGTTTTGAATCGATTCGTTCTACTCTTGTGGGAGGAGGCCGCTTCAGGAAAAATGCCGAGGAAAAAACGACTTCATGTGGAGCCACGATTGCGAACGCAGCACTTCGGCCTACACTCTTACTTTCTGCTCGACCGGCCGCCGATCGCCTGACTCTTGCCACACCCATGTCGTCTCAACACAGAATGCGCTGTCCCGGCTGCACTGCCTCGAGGTGCTTCAGCGACATCAAGGACTTCACTGCATCATCCACGACACTCGCCTGTCAAAGCTGGGAACTTCAACTGGGGGCTCTTGGGCTTCGGCTTCGAAGCGCTTTTTGGGGCCCAGGACCTTTCGGGGCCCAAGAGCCTGACGCCGAAAACGTGGGCAACATGTGGTACGGAAAAATCTCCTGGTGAAAGATCGGCAAATCGACACCGCTGCAGCTGCCCCCAAGGCCCCAAGAGATTCACAGGCAAGCTGCCCCATCACGCTCCGTCCAGCGAAACATGAGACCAATGTCCAGCTCCAGGTGCCTCTGGATTATGACGATACGCATGCCGCATGCTGCACAAATGCCTACAGAGTGACATTCCTGTACTGATTTTCATGATTGAAACACATGTATGAAAGGACCATGACTGCTCCGAAATGTCAAGCTGAGTCAAGCTATGACAAGCCGTCCCAAGATGTCCAAAGGATGTCTGCAGCTCTTATCCGTCACGGCACTGCAGGCGTGAGTGGCTCGCACCGAGCTGAGCGAAGGCCGCCGAAGAAAAGGTCTCCAGGGGCATCACCTGTGCAGACCCCCGGCCCATGGAGGGGAATGAAACTGAATGAATGCGCACAGGAGGCTAACCACACTTATACGTCACCGCGCTCATACCAGTTGGGAGGTCTAGGACAGGCGAGACTGCGATTTCAAAGATCGCTGATTCCACTGACTGGCCTGGTGCTCGGGCCAAAGCTCATCTTTGCAGGTGTAACCCAACCTTGGGCCGAGGGAAAAGATCGAGAGCATGCAATTCTCAATTCCAAAACTGCGAAACTGCCGGCATCGCTTTCGCCGGGGATCCGTAACGTCGTCAGCTGCTTCAGAGCGTCGGCGGCTGCCAGGAGTATGCTGTCGCCTTTTTTGCAGCCACGGCAGCTCGTGCATGTTTTACGCTGCTTTTCCATGGGGGCTCGCTCTCCCGCACAAACTCTTGTTGGCCTGCTTTGCCAGAAAGCCCACTGTACCCATGTACACGAAATGCTTTCCATATCCCTGTGCCCCTGGTCGATCCACGTATCAGCTCACATCTAGTGGATCAGCCTTAGGTCACGCAATAGCTCAGCACCTCCGGCTCACAGCCCGGCCGAAACAGATCAGCGGCTGCCGAATTTGAGCTCGGTACCGAATGGGATCTCCGAATGCCCGTATGAGATCATTTGTGTGAGCAATACGATGACTACACGATTTGCTTCACGGCAAGAGAGCTCCGGCGTTGTCATTTCGAATGTGCCCAGCACTCAGTTGCAGCTTCTGAGGCGTTAATGGGCATTTCTCTTCTGAAGCGTTAAGGAAACTTCTTTTTGTAACGACTTATTTTCACACACATGCACACACACACACACACACACACCCCAAGGGCACTCCAAGCTTACGCTTAATCCCCTTTCTTCGTCATAATCTAACGGATGCCGACAATGGGCTAGAGCATGTGAAACTTGCCGTGTGACGCCTGTCGTCCTTTTAAGCGAATTCACTGCCTCGCATGCCGGGGAAATCTTGCTAGGGACTAGTGGCATTTTTGTTTACATCATGAAAAAGCAGTATGAAAATTGCATAGCAGTAATAGAACGAGCATGCAACACATGATATCAAACAAGACACTCCAGGCTTTGACATGGTGAAGAAAGGAAACCCACAAAAGGACGACAGTGATCCGATGAGCCGTCCTGAATACCGTGAACTCAACCAACAAGGCATTGCAGACCCCGAAACTGCCCTTGAGAAGTTCCCCATAAGCTCAGGCTCTGTTCAGACTGCTGCAGCCTCGCACATCCAACTGGACCAGTCCCTTCCTTCGCATTGCAACATCATCTCAGAAGTTGCAGCTGCTGTTGCTTTGGCAAAAAGCTCCCATGAAGTGATACCCCTAGTGAGGCTACCGAAGTAAAGCGATCTTGCGGGCACCGCACCTGATGCGACATGATGTTGCGATGTTGCTGCAGTATGCGGCAGTGCATTACTTGGATACACAGATAACATCAAGACAGAGAGAGCATCGAAGATATTGCAGCACAATACGGCAGCAAATGAAGCGCAAAGCTCGTTGCCAAGATGCAGCTCCGAGAGGGTTTCCTCCGTGGTGGGGGAAGTGAGCTGAGAACACCCACGCAGACTCAGCCTCGGAGCGGTGCGTCAACGCCTAGAGCTTCCAACTGCCTCCAACTACGTGGTGAACTACGTCCTTGCAAAAAATGTCTGCAACATATTGCTCAAGCTTTGGGCCCTGGGTTGCTTGAGTTGCAGACCAGGAGGGCGAGTTCCGTGGTCTCGCCAGAAAGGTTTGCTTCATGGTTGTAGTCCGTGGTGCTTTCGCTGCTTTTCGTACTTTTCTGCTGCCGGCTTGCTTCCTCGGAACCCGGAGCCTTCCCAAACCCTCCTGGCTCATGATGGCGATGGCGGTTACACTCCTCATCCTCCTCCACTCTTCGCCCACCACGCCAAGGCTGCGAGTTCGGAGTGCCAAGAGATGTCTTCCCCACACTTCTTCTGATTCCTACTTCTATCTTATTCAAAGAAGCATCTCAAATATCGATGCCGAAGCGCTCTGAAAGGCACAGTGTCGAGCGCAGGCCCGCCAGAAGTGCTTCCTCGCTCAGTGTGTAGCAGAAGCCTCACCAAGTTTCAGAGAATCTTCTGGGGGGAGTTGGGCGGCATCTCAGCTCCATGTCATTCCATGTCCATCTTGCAGTCGGGGAGCTCAGGTCCAAGACTCTTAGCTGAGCCAGTGGCAGAAGTTCGAGCTCGGAATTCTGGAAACGGAAGCCTCCTCGGGCACTTTATCCCCCGAGAAGGGCGAGCGGCTGTGTAGGAAGGAGGCAGGGAGGGAATCGTGATCAGTGATCAAACTCGCACAACAGCATCTTCTCGCCCTGTTACTTCATGCTGCATCTTATGGAGCGAAAAGATGGAGACGTAGAGTTCCCTCGCTCTGCTAGTGAGTATCTCGTACTGGCCACCAGCTTCTGTGAGTAGCGGAACTTGAAGACCTCGGGCTTTAGGATGGAAGCCATAACAGCAATATGTACTCTCATATGCTGCAATACATGTTTCAGGAAATCTGCCCTGGCATGTACATCAGCAGATGAGGAGCTTGCGCCTTTGAAGGGTCAGGCAAGGCACAAGCCTCTTCAGCGCCGGTAGTGGCATGGGCTTCGCCGCAAGGGGGGCAGTGCACACCTCAGTGTTTCGCCGTCGTTACGAGGCGTGCGAAGGTGAGAGTTCAAAAAAGCGTCTGCCCCTTTCATGCCATCATCATCACTCCTGGTCCTAAATCATAAACAGCAAGGAGGATGCAAGTGATCCGAGGGGCCGTGTCCTCCAAGCTTTCGAGGTGGCTGGGCAGCATGAAGCATTGGAGTCCTTTGGGACATTGTGAAACCACGTGACACATAACACATTGTAACGCTAATGACACCGACCCCTTGCAGTGACTTGTCCGCTCTACGGAGCTGACAACGCAAAGCCGGCCCACTGCTGAGTGAAGCTCCCAGGGCGTGGTCTTGGCGAAGGAACCGGCAGCATGCCCCCAGAACCAGAACCTGCATTGCGCACTGCACATTGCACCTGCATTGCACTACTGTTCAAGACATTCCACATGCCCAGGACGCACCCTCTGACAAACAAAGCCAGAACCGAAATAGCAGAATAGAACCAAGCTTGCATGCACCGACTGGCTCCGGGAAATACGCCAGACCTTCACACCAATTCCTGATTTATTTACGATGGAACACCGATGCTCCTCAGCACATCCACAAGCATCTAAAGGGTATGCCAGTTGCTGTTCCATGTTGCTCTACGCCCACCCATAACAGGCCTCATCCTGGCTGAGAAAGTAGCCACACAGCATGCGTCGCCAAATGAGAGGCAGCATCGATGTCGACTTGACCTGTGTCCGGATAAGTTTTGCTCCAGTCCGTACAGTACAGTAATCTGCCAGCAAGGTAGTCTCGAAGGCTTTCGGCCAATTCTGTTAACCTGCACTTCATTGTGTCTACTACTAATAACTGCTTGTTTCGCCTAAGACTCGCCTAAGTGTTCACACAAATTCAACGGCCTTCTGCTCCGCATCCTCTCGGGTTGAGCTCTGCAAGCGTCGTGCTTCCTTCACCAGGGCTTCACAACACTTTCTGCTTTGCATCCGTCTGAGATCGCTTAGGGGTCTGCCCATATCCGAGCCTCCATGGCTTCCTCCACGGACAGCGTGGCCACCAGCTTGATGAGCTGTAAGCGCTGTTGGTGGGTGATTTTGCCTCATGGACTCTCGTGGCATCTCATGGACTGATGGTCTTGTCGTGTCCCTGATGTCCCTTGGACCCAAGCCGTAAGGGTTTTCTGGTTGCAAGCTGCAATCGAACAACATTCCTTGTTGCCACCAACAGTCACCAAGGCCTATGGGTAAAGGCAAGGCGCCCGTGAGCTCATCCTCTTTTGCCTGCCAAGGGAGGTCTTTGTTTTACCCTCAGGCGAATGCGCCGTGAAGAGGTATGCTGCATTGGAGAAAGCTGTTAAATACCGTTTACAGCTCTGCAAGGTTCGTTGCCACCTCCATGCCACTTCACGACAATACGAGTATGAGATGCTAGCTGCTAGGTACAGTAAGCTGCAAAGTACAACTGATGTATCGACAGAGGACAGATGGTCTGTGCTGTTCTCACAATACATCGCAATTCTAGGCTTGTCTCCAAGCCCACGACACAATCCGGTTTGGAGAATGCATGGCCTGCAGCACAACTGCCACCCTCTGCTTCACCTGCCATCTCTGACATAGAGGCACGACAAGACCGCGCAGACAGGGCTGGCTGATTTGAGCTCTTGCCTGCTTGAGTGTGCTTGCTTGAGTAACTTCTTTCGGCGATGAACATTACATTGTACTTGAATATTGTGCCTGTTGAGATCTGCTTGTTGCATACGTAGCCTAAGCTAGCAACGCGTGTCACATGAACCTTCCGTATACAGGACTTCCAGCCTCTTCAGCGACCTCGGGCGAAGACACTGTGCCTCCGCGTGCCTGAGGGCAGCAATGCTCGAAGCTCAGTCAAATCAAAGATACTGTAAGATACATGGTAGATGCCGCGGTAAATGTTGCCGGTTGAGATGTTTTAACACCAGGGACGGCACCCCGATAAGCCAAGCAAAAACAACCTTAACCTAAGAAAACCCGACGGAAACCTGACAAAACCAAAGCCGCCCGCAAGGCCTGACATGCAAACTCAAACCCGACATCTGCACAAGTCGTTGCCTGAACTCATCTTATTGATGAATGCAGGCATGGCGGCATGCGCACATGTGTAAAACAAATCGTTCTGGTAAGAAGACTGATTTTGCTGGCTCAACAAGATTCGAGGGGGTGCATACCAACAAGATGCCAGGAAAGGCTGAATCTGATGATGCGCTCCTAAGACGAGAACTGCAAGCCTTGAGGAAGACCCAAGCTCGCCAGAAGATTCTGCCTCTTAGATGCAGGCAGGCCGCCAAGGCTTCGTGGACCACACGGTTGATAGCCGTCTGGGTGTCATCCGTGGTTGTGCGCGTCAGCTTCTTGGGCACCAGCTTGCTGACGTTTGGGCGGCCCCGCACTGGGCTCTTCTGAAAGCTGGGATATCCTTCGCTTTCCATGGCGGGATGCGGCGATGTGGCGTCCTCAAGATTAATAGATCGTGGAATATCCTTGTTCGACCTGGCTTCAAGGCAATCTTATTCAAGCACAGTTTTTGATCGCAAGTCCATGATGAGGGGTGGAGAAACGCAAGCGATTCTTCATGGCATGCAACCCTCCCAATTGTCTCACTCACATGGTATTCTATGCAAACAAATGTGAGCACAACTCCCAGTCAAGGGAGGAGCTTGGATGAAGGGCCTGCGCACCGAGCTCCCTGCACTTGGACCCAGCTCGACATGCAGTACCTAAGCAAGTGAAGAGCACGTGAGGCATGAGAAGCACAAGCAGAAGCCAAGTTCATCAAATGGCAGCCTTTGGCGGCGCTAGCTTGGTGAGGGCACTGTGCTGGTGACCCAACGGCAGGCAGCTCCAACGCCTCCCACTGCCTCCTGGCAGGCGGGTGTGAGCTTTGCACATTGAGAAGTTCTGATATAAGGTTGAGGAGGCCTAGCCGGTCAGGCCGTTCACAGGCGGGCTTCTTCTATCGTACACCATCACCAGCACTTAGTCAAGCGGCCAGTGTCATAACAATATGAAAATACTCGACGCCAAAGCCGCTGCCAGAAAAAGGTGCAGTGCATGCTGCCAAGGCCAAGCCCACAAACAACTTGAATGGTATTTTATTGATATCAAAGCTTCACAAGAAGCTGAACCCTGCCCTTAATCCGGAGGGCAGCAAAGCATCTCTTTATCATCGACCGTCGCCCTAGCACGGTTACTAGGACCCACTCTCTCGAAGAACCGGATGTCAATCAACAATGCACATGCGAAGATGGCCTGCGAGGCCTTCCAGAGGATGTGGCTGCAAGAGAAAACCTGCCAGGCGAATGTCCTTTTCTTTCGCTGGAGGCCATTGAATTGGGCCGGGACGTGTTGACCACATGCAGCCGCAGTGCCATAGACAAGCTGGAGATCGCAACATGACGAGGGTCCTACTCTTGAAACGACGCCGTAGCCACAATTACTGTACGACGTGTCGGTAACATGCAGTTCCTTTTTGAGTACAGCTTGTTGGGAAGCCTGCCTGGTCCAAACCAACTCCCGGTGGAGGCTCCACTGGCGAATCGAACTGGACGATGGTTACGCCTGCCAGCTACTTGATACCGGTGCGACGAAGCTAGAGCTGGAGGAACATGATTGCTTTAGGTGTCGAAACTTGGCTGGAGGAGGAGGCGGTATTCCTGATCGATGTTCCCAGTTGACAGTGCGGAATAAGAATCAAAATTGATGTTCACAGATCTCTAATCATGTTGATTTGAGGTCACGAGCCAAAGCACCTCGGGCTCAGGTACGCTTAAATCCCAAACCATATGCGCCACAAAACCAGTCCCTGATGAACTGAAAGAGCTCGTCAGGGAACCTGTTGAGACGAATCAAGGACGACGCATTTCCTCATAGAGCCAGGTGCTGCACAATAAGGACGTTCCCCCAACTACAAGCCTTAGCTGTCGAAGTATACCATTAGAACATACTACAGTAGAACGCCAAACCCTAATCTTCATTGACGTCGAGAAACGACACCTTTGGGCCCACCTCCGGCATCATAGGCATGTACCGGGACGGGTCTCTCCACCTGCAAAGGCATATCGCTTTCGGGCTTGGGACTGTAGGTTCCCCCCCTAGGAAAGTCCCTTCCTCCATGCTTCGGCTTCAGCCACTCTGATTAGTGCGATCTGGGATAGGCCTCTGGAAACCTCTACTCGTGAGCCAACAAAATACCAACACAGCAAAACCTCCCACCTCGGTGCAAATGCTGTTTCCAGGTAGTTCGGAAGAGTCCTTCTGCACCTTTTGGCCTTCGGATGTGAGGATGTAAGTTGTAAGCCAGTCAGCGAAACGCTCCAGCGCACTTTGGTCGGCCCGATGAAAGACAACTGAGGCATGGTTTGTGCGATGAGTCGCATTGTGACATGCAGACAGGGCTTGTTCTCAAGTTTGGAAAAAGCCGTCGGCCTATGTGGTACTGGTCCATGGATACTCCTCCCTCCATGGGCCTAACCAGGGTCAGATGGCAAACATACACACAAGGGATGGTGAGTTTGGAGTTGGAGGGGCAGAATCGATTGGGCCTGCGATAACCTTCAAGAGCAGACTTACAAGGTCTTGGATGAGTGACTTTGGGGAGGCTGCATGGCCTAATAAAGCTCACTGCTCCGTGCTGCGAAGGAGAACGGCGTAGGCTCCCACGTACATCGACAGAACCCGTGGAATCCCCGGGCTCCCGACATGGTCTCGCAGCCATCCGTCAGCTGACAGTGCGCAGAACAAAGCCTTGATCAGAGCAGTGACACGCCGTGACTCCTCATGCTCTAGCTTCATGTCAACGTATCTTCAGCGGTCAGTGGGTCTGACGTGAACTGGGACTGACTGGGCCCCGCCTGCTATCTGGTCCGCACTCCAGCCCGCCTCAAAGCCGTTGGCAATGCGAGATTCGGTTGCGGGGCGAGCTTGCAGGCTTCACGGCTAGAAAACTCGAACAGTACCGTACTGCATACTTATCAAGAGCGCACCACGCTTCAAGGTTCAGGGCTTGAGGTTGAGTAATTGGGTCGGAGCTTGGTTTGGGACTGATGGTTTTGTAACCAGGCTGCGGGGTCAACAATTATCTGGAGGTGAAGGGTTCAATGTTGTTTTGGCTTCAAGATTTAGTTCCGCTGAAACCTATGACCTATAACGCAGCTGTGAAAAACTGAGGAAAACCTAAGGGGGTGCCTGGGCTGTTGCCACAGTGCTTTCCGTGGGTACTCAATTCAAACCGCACACAAGCCAAGCTCGATCAAGCCAACCTTGCTTCGATTCGCAGCCCCAGCTGCCTAATCCCCGACTCTTGCAACCCTGAAGCCTGAAGCTTTCCCTGAACCACTGTTTCCTCAGCACCCTCAGATCCACCTGCAAATCCTTGTAACCCCTTTGTCCCAACAAGTTTCTTGTTGGGACCATGCAGAAACCTGCAAATAGATGATCGAACCAAGGGAGTGTTGCGAGGGATCTTGATGAGGGCGCACACCTTACGAACCCGAAACTTCAACGTTATACTTGAACATCCAAACCCAACCTCTGAATCCTGTCCTGACCCCAGACCGTGACCCACCAAATCCTCGACTGCGAAGCCTAAAGAGCCTGAACCGTAGAAGCACCGATAGTTCTGTTGCGGCTGTGTGTTGTCGCGGCAGCGGAGTCTTGAACATGCTGTATGCAGTCGCATGAGAAGGCTACCGAGATCTGAGTGGCAGAGAGGCATTGTGTCTTAGAGTCTTGGAACGGACAAAGCTGCGGGCTGCACCTGCAGGATCGTCCACGTGGAACATCACGGCCATGCATTCCTACGGAGCGGACACAATCAGTGACTTTGCAAGGCAGCCGCTCAAGAGCTGCCAAGCTTTTGCCTTTCATGAAGCACAAACCTCGAAGTGCACTCATGCATGCTAACCCCTCTTGCCTAACGACAGCCATCAGCAGGTTTTGCAGGAACTGCTACGCCGCTACAGGCCTGGTCATTCTCGCACATCCGAGCGCAGTCGTCATATGTGTTAAGCCTCAAGACCACCACCAGGCACGGCTCGATGTACGAATAGACTTCAAGAGTTTAGCGTGCTGGGTTTTGTTAAGCTTGCTGAGGGCTGCGTCGCACATCTCGAAACCACATGCTTGTGAACGACATCTCATCAGACAGAGAAACCGACCACAGGTTTGTTAAACTATTTCCCCAAAGCTCTCGAACTTCAGCATGAGAGCTGAAGGAGTTCTCAAGCGTGCTGAGCTCGTGGCAGAGTCGCTGGGGGCTGCCAAACCCGCGAGGTATTGGTGAAGTTGCATTGGAGGTTGTGACCTCGACATGGCCGGTAGATTCGAAGCCAAACCTTTTTCTATCGGTTCGACTGTCAAAGCCTGCCACTGAGTGCTGTCTGATGCATACTTGGCACATGTGCGTCTACGCATGGCGGTACTTGAAGATGTTACGACAGGATCTCAAGGGCCAGCTTGCTAGCACTTTGCGCAACACTACCATGCGAAGTTCAGCTTGCGCCGCCCCCTAAGGCCCTTAGGATTGCAACCCTTCAGTTCTGAAACCATGAGGCACAGAGGCCCATCCATAGCTTCTCGGCCGCACGCGCCTGCTGTGATTACTTAGGCCCTAGGCCACGTACACCTCCCAAACTGGCAGTGATGCGGCAACGCTCATCACGATGCTGTTGGTGTCTTTTTTCGGCGTTCGAAAGTTTTAAGGCCAGGACCGACGTATTCCATCTTGTAGCTCAAGCAGTCGACCGAGGCATCATCTGCGGCTAAATGCTTCATGAGAAGCAGCAAGTGCACTATTGACCAAGACCCAGACTTCTCTACAATCATCACCCCCATGGATCAGAAGACGTTTTGATGCTGGTCGGTCTAGGTGTCTTGCAGGGGTTACTCAAGCTAAAGGAAGTACAGCTAGTCTGATACACCTGCTGCCTGGTCCCGGGTCCGGTGATCCCCATTCCAAAACACAAGTGCAAGAGACGTCGAAGACACCAACCTGCCGAAAGTGTGCCAGAATAAAGCTACGCGCTATCAAGAAGGTTACGCAACGTCTATGCTCTTTTGCCATGACCTCAAAGCAAATGTGCCTTGCGACATTGGGGTGCATGGGCTGTGCCATGCAATGTGCGCCGAGCTCTGCACCAAGAGGATCGAAGACCCAGGAGATGAGCGTCTCAGCCCTCTTGTTTGCTGGGCAAAGGCCCCTTGGCAAGGAATGAAGGCTCTCACTCTTTAGAACATCAAGCGTCAAGCCTTAGCCGTAGCCAAACCTGGGGGAAGTTTCGACAGAAGGACCTAGATCTGCGTTCAGTGCTGAGGCTGCTGAGGCAGCAACGCTGGTGGGAACATCTCCCTCAGTGCCAAGCGGCCAAAGTCGAGAGGGCACAGCAAGCTTGTTCTGTGCTGCAGACCCTCTGCAAGGAATTGATGTAGCAAG